AATCTATCCTATCTTTTAATTATTATGATATCACATATTTGCATTCTATATCGGTTTCAAATTCTATTACCTTTCATATTAGCTCTGAATGTAATTTTTAAAGAAATTTATTTATCTATAAATATCATTTAAAAAGATTTCTACAGATGATGAATAATAGAAATCTTTTATTCAATAGTACCGCCGCCTATCATATAGCTGCCGCCCAACTTTACATATACTTTAAGGTCTTGATGTTTCTTGCAACACTACACAAATTGCAATTGCCACGTTTGTCATAATAGAATCGCTACCATATACTATCATAAAATCTATTACGTCAAGTTCCCTTTGAAAGGTACTGTAGTTAAATCCTGTGGAAATGTTTAAGAATTTAATTCTCATCCTTTTATCCTTCACTAGTGTCCGATCAGCATAGCATCCGTCTAACTGTAATAATAACCATTCACCAGAGGTAAAGTGTAAAAAATATCAAACCCCAGTCATACCTATTTTAGCAGCCAGAGAAAGCTGTTGTTGTTTTTTGAGATGTGTTTCGTTTTTTTTTTTAAATAATAATAACTATCCGCGTATATTAAATTCCCTAACTTACTTATATTATACACTACTATATAATACAGTAATTAAATATTTGTGATTATGCAAGGTTTCGTTTTATTTTATTTTTACTTTTTAAGTTTTTAATACATATGTTTCGCATATAGGGTTTAGATTAGGCAATGAAATTACAGTATAAGAGGCATGACAGCGTAGTCCTCTGGAATGGCAACACATGAGTGATATAACAGTTGTCACATAATAACGAAGTGATATCCATGTATATAGACAATAATTATCTCTTACCATCATACCTGATGGTAAGCGATAACTAGTGTCTATGTACCCGACAGGCTGCCATTTCAGTAATATAAAAAATATCCAATAATCCTCCGAACCGAAAAACATCAAGGTACTTTTTATTGTGACTGAACAGAACAATAAAAAAGTCTAGTTACAATCGCATTAGCTTAGTGCCCTTTTTAATATGTAATAATAACGACTCTTGGCTCAATGGGGTAGGTAGAGGCATTATCAATTATTCACGTAATTAGTAATATTTTTAATTATTATCTTTATAATAGCGTTTGGATAACACCACAGTTGATAAACAGCACAAATTGTATTTTAAAAAGAATGATATGTACGTATGTTCGTACATTATAAAGAATTAATTAATAAACTTTATACAAAATATTAAATATACAAAACAAGTTTGCGTGGTTAATTCTGTCTCAGCTACTTGTAATTCCAAGCCTTGGTTTCGGTCGGATTACAATCCGAGTTTCATTTGAAATGTGAATTATAGCAGTGAAATTACACAGTGCGGATGCATAACACCTTACTCTTTTACAATAGCATTACCCCAGAGGTAGTATAGGCGTCACATAACGTTGTAATATTCATGTTACTATTCATTTATATAGGCATATCGGTAACGACTTACCATTTGGTGATCCTCAATTCCCGTTATATAAAATATGTAATTTAATTACTATTCATTGCAAAATATTCGTCACGTTGACGTTGAATATGTAACAAGGAAATATATTACCTATTCGTTTGTGGAGTATTCATGTGTCGTCACGTCGCGTCGGTATAGAGTGTAACAGAAATGGTGTTTATCAATGTGAAATCAAGGACACATATATAAAAAGGATGAGAAATCAAAGCCTGAGGAAAAATTTATCTATTACTATTTTATCTCTTCACTTGCGCAACTCAGTTTACAATACTGTGTTCTGTTCGGCCTGTTTATATCATGCAGTTTTAGGCAGTCTTCTCAATAAGTCATTCACTACAACACTGCCAGCTTTAATACTTACTACACTTCACAATACATACTAAGATAGTTTCATGTTATATACTTCACAGAGTTTTTAAATTTCCTTACATATTTGCTTTCCTTTTTTATACCACAAATTCAAATTCAAACTGAAAATTGATGACAATGAAGCGTACGGCCTATCTGACGCTTATAACACATGAGTCTCACGTGAATCTTTCCAAAATCGTCATTAATTGCGTAATTAAGGCAACTGAATGAGTTTCTTTGTTATAACAAGTACATTACAGTGAAGTATTTTTACTCCAGATATTTGGACAGAGTGTGTTAAACTTCCTACTACTATTTTCCTTCTACTTCATTTCCTAACTATTTATAGAAAAAGACATAAAGAATATTTTTACTTCTAATGAAAATGTAAGTTCGTAAGTTCTTGACGTGAATTCCTGAGCGAAGTATTTATTACCGAAACCAATATTACAGTAACGATTTGCCTTTTTAATCGTAGTCGGTAATTAAACGAATAACTGCCTCGATATCTAAAGACAGGCGATTACTGTAATAAATAAACTGCTGTTGTAAGATTGTGATCTATATAAACGACACAGTTTATTTTTATACCTATATGCAAAGTAACATGTGATATTTATATATTTCTGTTATATTACGGTACGTTAGATGACTTTTTAATGTATTGTTGTTAGAATGTTTAAAAGATAGTGACACAACAAGATTATTACTCGAAATAAATGAATAAAAATATTTTATAGTTAAAAAACATTCGTTTGAAGGAAGCGAAAAGACAATTATAGTATTGATGACTTTCTACAAATATTAATGTCATCATCACCTGCTTGTTCCTCATCCCAATCATTCAGGATCAGAGTAATATGTGTTTCTCTTCTATTCATCCCTGATCGCAGTCATCTCGTTACTTAGTCTTTCCTGCCCTTATAGTCATTCATATTCATATGTAATACTTTCTTTAAAATATTTTCTTCATTCCTACGTATTACATGCCCATACCAAGACAGATAATTTAGGTACTTTTCAACTTCTCCGACACTGGCCCCACTTTCATACTTCTTCTAATGTATTTATTTTTTATCTTATTAATTCGATACTTACAGATCGATACTTAGATACATACAGTCATCTACCATCCATCATCTTTATGAGCCAGCATCCAACCAACTTGTGCTATGAGTTTAAAACAACTGAATTTTGGATCTAAAGAATGTCATAAATTAATTTGCCTCAGTAAATTTTGGTTCTGTTTGTAATAATTAAGCTTTTCTGTGAAATTGTTTTCTTAATCATTTTAAAATAAGGAATTATTACATTTAAGTTCCTTAATTTTCAATTATTTACTTACATTTAAACAAAATATGTCCGAAACAGTAATATCATAATAATAAATAGAAAAATCCAATTTGTAGCAAAATGTTGTATATTATAGGACTTGGTATGATGATCTATCATAAATGTAAACTGTATATTTTGAAATAAATTTTACAAAATAATAATTTGTAGCTATATCTATTATGATGTAAGAATTCATATACATATATTATCTCTAATTTTATAGGCTGCTGAATTTTACGATTTAAAAATATTGATCAATATTTGATTAAAATTTTATACGTCTGTTTAAAAATAAATATATGTTGACAACAGAATATTGCACTTAACTCAAGAAATCAATCCCACACAATTAAAATATACCCGAAGTGCACACAATATTTGATGTAATTCACATTCAATCATTTATAGCGAAGAAAACTTGTAACTTATGAAATTCAATCAATTTGAGCATACCGTAATTTTTCTGAAATAATAAATAAATTTCTAATAATTGTCTAGTATCTAATTGTGTATACGTATGTGCTATGCTTAGGTTAAGACTAGAAGACACAATGTTAATATCCATAATTATTTATTTATTATTTACTTTTTGGAACTACAGTTTAGTAATACTAATAATATGACAATTTACACTGCACTATCTAGTCCTAAGCTAAGTCAGAATTTGTGTTATGAGTTAACTAGATAACTGATATAAACACTTCACATATATTTTTGTTAAATCACAATAATACACCCAAACCGATACAAACAATCATATTCATGAATACAAAAACTTGTATCGAGCGAGGAATCGAACCGGCGACCATTGGAAGTACTAATAGTAGTGTGGTAACCGCTAGACTACCGAGGCCGTTAAAAATACACATAATGTATTTGAAACTTAGTTTGATTTATCAATCAGTCTGTCTCTTTATAAAGAGATCGATACAAAATTGGTTCAGGCCCTGACGAAAAGTTTGTGAAACCCTGCTTAACTTATTCTTTGGGTATATGAAGAAACTCAATTAATACAGTTTCAGTAAACATACTGTGTAAAGTTATTTAACCCACTGTATATTGGACACCTGTAATCACTATGTAGATTGACCCACTTGATTGATTTTATTTCAAGTGTGTGTATGTAATCGCCACTGCGATGTTTGGATTACTTACAATAAAATCATATCTCGTAACATCTATCATTGAACATTCTTTAGTAATAAGAATTAGTTTCGTACATGTATTTAAATACTATATATAGGTATCCTATTAATATTATAAACGGGAAAATTTGTGAGTATGGATGGATGCTTGTTACTCTTTCACGCAAGCACCACTCTAAACGGATTTTGATGAAACTTTACAGTAACATAGCTCATACATGTTTTTCTTAGAGATTTCCATTTTTACAACTGACATGTCACCTTTGAATTGACGATACAATAAAACTATTCGACCAATCTGAAAACATTCTTTTGTTTTCGAATTCTAAATTAAAAAAGATGTAAATGCCATATGCTTTTTTTTTTATAATCGCGGGAGGTTGGCAAACCACACGACTTAAAAGGCAGCCTAGGTACACCAAAATAACGTATGGGTCATAAATTTCACGAGGATGAAATCACGGACAGCTATAAGATTACTGATACGGAATTGACGAAAAATATTTACTAAAAACAAAACTAAGCTAGCTATTTTTTATGGGATTGCTATCACGAATGCAATAATTTAATACATATTTTGATTAATAGTATTACATTATATATTTCCGCTATATTATTACATATATTAAATATAATTAATACTTTAGAAATAATATTCTTTGTTACAGTACAGCAAATTCCAGTCAAGATGACGATGCTGAATGGTCAAGAAATTCCACAATAGAGGAATATATAAAGCAAAATGGCACCAATGATTCATATGGTAAGAATCGATAGATTAGTACACTAGTTGCTCTGAAGTAATTTTAGATTATACATATAATAGTTTTCATGTATAATAAATATGTAAATTTGATTTGCATAAAACTTTCTAAACTGTTGAAAAATATTGATTCAAATACTAGTACGAAATATGTGTTATGAACGAAGTTCAAAAGTTTAAAATTCTGTTAGGCGACAGTTACGTACCAGTTTACGCTAGGCACTAGTGGACTTGTTTGCCATTTACAGTTTAAAAATAATATATATATTTTCTACACAATTTAAAATGTAAACTGAACATGTAAAATGTGTAAATATAAAATCAAGTAATGAATATTTATTTTACAACATTTTACAAGCATTTATTTAATTTCATATCTTATCTACTAATCTCTCACAATCGATTCGACTGAAATTTGTACATTTATAACTTAGGTGTCAATACTAGCTCTCGGTTACTAAAATAATATGGTATGATAATAAAAGGAAAAGTTGGCCATAGGAACTTGGTTATTATAAAGTTTTATACCTACTCATAAAACTTTATACAACGCATTATTAAGTATTGTCTAGTAATAGGTACTCATCTATTACTAGGCAATACTTAATAATGCGTTGTATTAAACAATGCAAGTCTATAGGATTTTGTGTTCCTTTATACATTTCTCAATATATATGTATGTATATGATATAAGCGTGTACTTATGTTAATTACGATCTAGTGTAGTTTATTACGCTAAAGTCCTATCCCTACTACCCCGAGGGTTTAATGTCTACTACTATGGGATTTACTACTCTATCTCAAAGGTATCATCAAAACTTTATGGCAGTGTCAATTGAAATATTCTACAGAATCTTATCTCTATGATTAAATCAGTCAACCAGAAGTAATTAGTAACTGATTTTGTAGAATAGCAATTTTGCAGGAAAAATCTTTATTGATACTAAATTAAATTATATAGCTAAAAGAAAATTAAATTGAAAACTTTTCTGACAATTTAGGTAGTTAATAAATTAACAGAGTTAATTTATAAAGTAAAATTGTCGAATTGTTCAAAGCCGAGACGTCTTTATTACTCGTAAGTACATGAGTCATATGTGACGTAGATAATATTTAATACTTTAAACAAAAATATATTTAATTTATTGCGATATCAAGTAAGTAGACACCTACAATACATTTTCCAGCGACGTGACAGTGCTTATCGCGTTAAAGGATATCTCATCATGCTGCCGGCGAAATGACGGAAATTTACTATTTTTTAGCGTCCTTTTGATCAAAGTCCGGAAGCCCACGGTGTAAACACTATTTTTATAAAAAGGCTTTCTTATTTATTTTGCTTTTGATATCTATAAGACTTGTGGGTACAATGTATAGATAGCATAATCTGCCTGCGTCTGCCAGACGCGCTAATTATTATATAAATAGTTTTGAGGAATCCCAATAGAAAATAGTATTATATTAACAAAAATACACCAATTACTTTTAATTAAGCCAGATAAAATAAGAAATATGTTTATTGATATGCTTTAAGGTAATATGTATTAATTATTTATTATCACATTAGCAAATTTATCGAAACACAGATGGAGCTATTGTCAAAAATAAATATTTAAATGTATCTGCCTGCATATAGAATGTAATACTAAAATTATTTCAATCAATACTTGTTTTCCTAGAAAATGTTTTCACGCATTCCTATTGTTTCAGATACGTTATATGATGTGCCTACAGGAATGATAGTCCTGTTATCGTTTTTATATGGATCAATATCAGTACTTGCGGTGGTGGGTAACTTTCTGGTAATGTGGGTAGTAGCCACCTCAAGGCGAATGCAAAGCGTAACCAACTGTTACATAGCCAATTTAGCGTTAGCAGACATAGTTATAGGTTTATTTGCTGTACCGTTTCAAGTGAGTATTTTTAATAATTTAATCATTATGTATAATATATATATAAATATAAATGGGATACTTAATTTATTCTCACTGGCGTCCTGGTTTATGACGATTGTTAGTCAACCAACATTCGTCATAATACCACCATATGCTTGAATCAGTGTCGGATTTCAGGAGCTCAGAAATAATATTACCATGGTACATATCATGGTAAATATGTACTATGTGCAATTGTAATATCCCATATATAGATAAACAAGTATAAAATAGTTTAAAAGAATGCTTAATTTAATGCATGCCAAAATTATAATCTTTTGTATACAACAATATATTCGAAAAGTCTCGAATAAAAGTTATGTTGATCAGTTTTCTATAACCGTTGCGTATTGTAATGGAATTATTTTCAACAGTTTCAAGCAGCGTTGCTGCAACGATGGTTGTTGCCACATTTCATGTGCCCGTTTTGTCCATTTGTACAAGCGCTAAGTGTCAATGTCAGTGTATTCACACTCACTGCCATCGCTGTGGACCGACATCGAGCTATCATAACTCCACTCAGGTACCTTTTTTATACCATTAGTTTATATAGTTAATATTCCGTCTGATTTTTTATCAATGAATCATGATTCTATACGCGCACCTGTACTACAGTACACTCTGTAGGGGCACCAGCGGAAGTTCTTATGGATGATAGAATGGTGTACTCGCCTGCGCTAAGGGTTTACGCTGGCGAGGCACCAAGAATGATAAGAGGAGCATGCGGTCAGGTCTGTTAGCCCATCGTGGCAAATTCACCAGAAATTTAACATGATGGTTTCATGAGAAAACCACGTGGAGGTCAACCTGGTACATTGCTGGCAATTGGATAATTAATTCACATTACTAATCCTCATCCCCCCACCAGTGGAAGATGGCATGAGTAGTATGAGAGAGAATAAGGAAGAACTCAGTTAGCACATCATGATGAATTCATCAATGATCGAACTACCTAGGTGAAGAACTAAGGATGTAATATTAAAGAACTAGAAGGTAGTATCAACGACCTATAATATAAAGCGAATTCTGTTATACATCGTGTAAAATGGGATTCTAACCCCTCTATGCAGAGTTCGTTTGAACTTTCATGAATAAGTAGGCATAGTAATATATGAATACAAAACACAACTCTGTATGTAGCGAAATCTCAGTGAAGTCACGTAGTTAAGAAGAACGTACTTAGTTATTTGAAATACTTTACAAGATTACATGTTTCTTTTGTACCGACTGATCAAAGGAGAAGGTTCTTTAAATTAATGGAAACTTTTAAATAGAAAATTGCCAACTAAATAGTTTAGATTAAACTTTAAGTTCTATTTAAAAAAATAGTATAAATGTAATTACTATAAATAACTAAGTAGGTATAGTTCTACATGGCGATATAATTGTTTACTACTAGCTGTGCCCGCGGTTTCAACCGCGTGAAATTTATAGCCTATATGTTATTCTGATGTATAAGCTATATTACTGTAAAGTTTTTACGTGAAAGAGTAACATCTATCCATACTCACAAACTTTGGCGTTTATAATATTAAAATAATAACATATTATTTGTAAGCTATAGTTATAGCTATTGTTCCATTCGTGTCTTTTCAGTAATACAATTATAATAGACTTTTAAAAGTAATTATCACGCTGTCAATAAAGCCGCAGCTTACTTATATACTTGTTGTATATATGCGTATGTAAAATGATATAAGGACATATGTGGATCTTATGGCGATGCAATATTAGTTAGATAACCCAACCGGAATGTTATACACATTTAACTTTGTAATAAAACAATACATCTCCTTTGAATGTGGGTTTCTCCTTTGAATGTGGGTTCATTTGCTTTATCACAATGATTAGTTGGATGAAATGTGTTAATTAGGGTAGGCTACTCGTAACCGTAGGGATCATTATAAATATAGAAAATGTTCGTGTGAAATCATGAATTACACACCACTATATTCAGAAACAACATTCAAACGATATCCATAAAAACTACACCAACCAGGATTAACCCCAATATTATATATATCTGGGCCTATAAATCAGTAACATCTTTCAGTATTTTCTATATGACGGTTACCACTTTTCCTCATATAAGATGTCGGATTGTTTGCTATTATTGTAAGGAGTTTTAAAATCTCACTATATTTATATTAAAAATAAGATAACTTGTAATTTAAACAATTTATCATCATCATCATCATCATTTCAATCTATTAATCGCCTCCACCAATGACCGTAAATGTTACTCATACCTCGTTACAATTTCTACAATTCGAAGCTATCGTCGATTCACACTTTTATATATTGAGAAAACTATATAAGTAGTGACAATTTTAAAGTTAGTGTATATTAGTGGCATTACTCAAACATTTTTATTCCAAGAAAAAAATACTTATAAATATTCTTATCTCTTACAAAACAATATTTTCGACTGGAGTTATGAGAACTATTATATCGACCACAACCATGCATAACATAAACGTGTTCAGCGCAGAGTTCAGACAGATTCCAATATTCGATAGCAAAAGAGATTGCCAAAGCATTTACCGATTGGAAAATAGAAGATGTTAAATTGTTAGGTTAAATATTTGAAAGATATTTATACTTCTATCTGTCTCAAAGTTATTGTATTTCAAAACGGAACGTTTGAACTTCATATTAAATGTTAATTGTGGCATGTGCTTTAATAGTAAATTCATTTATCATTAACTTATTATTGCACAACAAACTCCACACTTATTTCTCTTTCACTTAATTCTTTCTAGAACCAATCCTTGTTTTGTAAAAAATACATATGATTACTAATAAACCTCTTCTCTAATGCTAAAATAATAGTCCAAAATATACAAAATGATACTTTCCCATTTTTAAAGTTACATGAAAAATAAAACATTTAAAATAGCAGGAAATATAAAATGCTGAACCAAAAGTAATAAAATAAGAGTACGTCTGTGAAATCCTAAGTTTTGTTGTAAATGTTATCCTTTATTCTAGTAATAGTATATTGCAATATCTAACCGACTTTCAGTCATCGAAAAGAAAATAACAAAATCTGAATATATTATAACGACTAGAAACCAATATCAGCGATACAGGCACTATCTCTAAGTTATTATTAGCGATTTAAATATATTATAAAACAAATATATTGAATAGCTAATATTATTAAAAAGTATTTGGTATATTTATGATAAGTAAATAAATAAATATATGTCTTAGTCCAGCAGAACGACAACGCATGAGTGGTATCACGGGTATCACATGCTAACGTCTTCATTTTGAAACCTGTAATCGTGCAAAAGTGCGTCAAAATTTCAGTAAAATCAACAACATAGATTTTTTTATGTCAGATAGGCATGCATTATAGTTTATAAAATATAAAACCAATAATACATAATAAAAACTATTGTTTACTTTTATTGAAAACCCTGAAAAGCTTAACACGTGATGAAAGTAGTACGCAAAAAGGCAGTTGTGTAAGCACAGTTAAAATTAGACGTAGACCATTATCGTCGGCATACAGAAAGTGTATTGTAGTTTCATGATAGTGTTTCATAATAGGGTTATATTATGCATCTAGTAATATTAAAGATCACTGTTTTAAAATATTTTTATTGTACTTTTGAACCTTTTTTTATTGTAGATATTAATTAAATGTTGAAAGGTTTTAGCATTCTGCCGCGAATAACTTTTGAAATAGGAGATAGGTAAATACAGACAAATAGTTAATACAGAATTATAGTATCTGGAAGATAATAAAAGATCATTTAAAAAAACTGTTTGTCTATAGCACCGCAGAGAATTATTTATTTGTGATACTGCTTAACATTATTTACTCATACCAAGCCTGGACGGGTCAGATGGTAGGTAGGCACCTAATATATTATTTACATAGGTATTCCCTTTGAATATGTAATTTCAGTTAATGCTAAATGAAATTATTAAGTACTTTATTTATTTTTAACTTTTTTTTGTGGTTCACATAAATACTCGAAAATTTTACAAACCTAATAAATGTGGCTTTTAAATTAATTGTATTTCATTTAATACAATTATGTATAATAGATAATCATTTGCCCCGTTTCTATCGTCTTTTGATCATAGTTATGAATTGACTAATATCTCGAATAATTAATAAGGTATAGGTCAATTCAGGTAAGTAAATTCAGTGTAATTGTAATAACCGAGCTTGACACTAACATGTTAGAAATTTAGCACTATCTGAATAATTTATATGAACTATGATATATGTGCGAAAATATAGCTTTTGTCTCGACAATGCAATAATTTAAAGCGAGATATTGATAACAGATTCATCAGGCTACAGTGCTTCATGGATACTGATCTATGTTTGCAATGATGTTGCTATTGACTAAGTAATACGTAAAGATTAAGATGTTTCGTGAGATTTGTGCTATTTTTAATATATCGCTATGATATCTACGATATCAACGATCTATGGAAAGGGCTATGCTTGGAGTTTCTCTAAGGGATCAAATCCGAAACGAAGTAATTCGCCAGAGAACTAAGGTCACCGACATAGCTTTTCATATTGGAAAGTTGAAGTGATAGTGGTCATATCTGTCGCAGAATCGATGCTCGATGGAGTAGGCACGTTATAAAGTGGAGACCGCGAATTGGCAAACGTAGTGTAGGACTAGGTGGAGCGACGACATACGTAGAGTTGCGGGTAAAAACTGGAAGAGAAGGGCTGAAGATCGTTCCCAGTAGCGTGCCTTGGGAGAGGCCTATGTCCAGCAATAGACTACAGTGGGCTGATGATTATGATGATCTCCTTCACTGTGCTTTACTGTATACTCTAGGTCGATGATTAGTACGTTATATTCTTTCTTATTCACCTTAACATAATATATTTTTAAATCTATGTATAAAAGAGCATAGGTGTAAAAATTATGCTATATTATCGTATTCATTTAAAAACGATTAATTGATGTGGATAGAAATTAACAATATTATAAGCTCGGGTATATTCTTGAATTTATGATATTCTTTATCATATTTATTTGGGATTATGAGTATGTGGGATATACTGGTCATAAATTTTTCGTTTATATATATGCATATGACAACTCTTTTAGTGCCGAACATTTGTTACAGTGCTCATACATCAAAACGTATTGCTAAAGTAATAATAGTATTCATTTGGCTGTTGGCTCTGTCTCTGGCAGCCCCAATGGCTATGTCATGGGAAGTTATTATGGAAAATGAACAAGATCCAGGTAAGAAATACAAATATGATACTATAAGTGACGTTGATATAATTAATAATTTTAAGCTTAGAGTAACATTTTATTATAACATAAATTATGAAAATGTTCACTCTCGCCTAATACGGATAATCTAATTATGAAGAAAAGGGTGAGGAAAATCAGAAGTTACATTTTGTATTCTAATTAGAGTTGTTGACAAAAGTTGTAGATTTAAATTCATTATTGTTATCTTTTTAGTTAATTATTTACATACCGAACTCAACATGCTTTTATGTATTACGTTAAATTTCAACTAACATCCTTAATAAATCAAAATAATGTGAATTACACATGAATACTTATATACATATACTAGCTGTACCCGCGACTTCGTCCGCGTAAAATAGTGACCTTGACCAAATAATGAAAAAAATATTTAATAACCTAACCAAAAATAACCTAACTAAAAGCCAAATGAAAAAGTTTCATCCTTTTTGCTTCAAAAATGACGACACTTCCATACATAACTAACATCATAACTTTTTCAACCCCTTTAATATTAGTAAGGTAATATATATATATATAGCTAGACCACTTTCACACACAATACTAAATTCAGGGGCAATATTGGGGAAGTGGTGGTGGGGTGAAAACCGGCGAAAAAGGGTTTGGGATGGTTCGTGTGTAGGTAATTTTAGACATCAACTATAACTTATGACGTCAAGATACCTACGAAATCAGCAAGAACCACTCTTTGAGTGTTAATTTATTACATTCTGGAGTAAGACCATGAGAACCTATTTGATTAGGACCATGTACTTTTTTCTAAAGAATGTAGCGCTCACCTAATACTTTTTTTACGATCGGTCGCCCTTATCTGAAAATGTCAGCGGTATGCGGCATCCCTCCGAAAGCATTTATTTAAGAAGTTACTTTTTATGGTTTTTTATATCAAATTATTATATTACATTATTGGTACACAACTTTACGTATATATTATACCTGCCTAATACGTAGTGTATTACAGTAAATATAATAATGTTTAATTTATTGCATCAAACAACTATATTTTACAATTGTCTTGTGTATGTACTAAATATATATAAGTATCTTCTATCTATCTAATCTTGTTACCTTTTAATAACACTGAAATATGAAGTGCCTATGTATAAAGGGATAGTAGCAAGCTGTAGCAGATTTTAAATTTCTCCGCTAGCTATTCGTCAAGGTTTCATTGGTATTTTGTTGCCTAATACTTAATCAAAATATTTACTCATTTAGTAAGCAGTCAAATTTGCATAAGGATGTTCAAATATACTTAGACATTCTTTGGTACGATGCTACGTTATTTAAACTAGCTTGGTTTTATGATTTAACTTCCATACATTTGTTAGTTACTATTGGATCTACATGGATCAGTTAAATATTATTCAAGTAATTAAATAATTTGTTTCAGTTAGTAATATCATTTATAAGAAACCATTCTGCGCTCCCAGTGAATTTGGTTCCCATTCACTGGCTATCTACAGATTACTCTTATATATATTTCAAGTAAGTAATTTGTTCTTAAATGGTAACCTCACACTACAAACTCACTTTACTGCTTACAACTGTACATATTGTTACATTGTTTGTTACGTATTTACGTTGTAACAATTTAATCAGTAATTATGAAATTTGACATATACAAGTAAAGAAAATTTTTATTGTTGTCAACCTTGCTCACATGGACAAAGACACAAAAAAAGTTAGGTAATATAACTTGACTTAGTTATTATATTTCGATACAATGACGCGTTTATAGGCGGTGTTCGCGCTTCCGATCGATTCCCTAGTTAATTTAAACGAAATTACCGCGGCTCGAAGCTCTAGCGGAGCCGTCAAATTAAAGTCGTATCCGGTAAGAAAGAGTTGACCTTCTAGAAGTGTTTGTGGCCATCTAGACTTTGTGGCAAAGCTGTAAAGGCCAATAGCATTAAAATTTTAATAGTTAAAAAAGGCGGTATTTGTACTGTCTTAGTGTGTCAGACTTCAAGCGTATGGCGCATGTTCATGGAAGTGTTCACCGAAAGATTTTATGTGACAACGCTTAATAGTTTATTATGGCAATATAATTTCATCACTAAATTTATAATATCGATACATCATCTTGTTAGGTAGCAAACATAAAAATGTAATTTTGTGTAATATCATTTTTTACCAATATGCAGATGAGTCCAAAGGACTGCTTAGTCTGGAACAGAATAGTGTAATAGAAGTTACATAAAACATATTCAATATTGAACACAAAGGAATTGTTACAGGCAAAGGAAAGTCTTTGTCATTGTGATATGAACTCACTCATGATTAAATTCAATTCCATATGCTACATTTACTTACGCTCTAATTAATTGGAATGACGAATAATGTGTGACGATAATTAAAGTACTAAGATATCATCGTATACGAAATGTCAATATTTATAACTAACTGTGCCCGCGGTTTCATCCGCATGAAATTTGTAGCCTATTTGTTATTGTAATAAGCTATATTACTGTAAAGTTTCATCAAAATTCGTTCAGTAGTTTATTCGTGAAAGAGTAACAAACATCCATCCACACCACTAACTTTCGCATTTATTAGATATATTAGTAAGTTAAGATGTAGCTCAATAAATAGCAATAATTCATGTCACCTCACAATATATTATTTTCAGTATGTGATCCCATTGTGCGTAATAACATTTGCTTACGCACATATGGCCATGAAATTATGGGGTGCCCGCGCGCCTGGAAATGCACTGGAAACTCGAGATGCCAACCATATGAAAAATAAAAAGAAGGTGAGCACGAAACAAAAAAAAGTAATTTATAATTTTAGTATGAAAAGTTTAATATTACCTTTAGCCTGTTTTCAATTATATCACGAGTATAATTCAAAAGGAAACTTTTTAATTTAATAAATCACACTGTATTACGCGATATTTTGCCAATCCTGAACTGAAACCAATCTTTTTTCCCATTTCGCTCAATTTGTTGTAAAAGAAACTATAAAATTTAATTTATTATGGTACATATACAAACACGATATGTAATCAAATACAAATTAGTTTTACAAAACATTTGTTCACACGTACCTACATTTATTCGAATAAACCATCAAAATTATTAAAGTGATAATTATTCTACGATTTTGCCAGCTGTAATAACACAAAGCTATTTTTAAGGTGAAAGCTTTCACGGTAGTATACACCTTTCTTGACTAATGGATTAATTCTCACACAGGTAATAAAAATGCTGGTTCTGGTAGTGGCGTTATTTGCACTGTGTTGGCTTCCTCTACAAAGTTATATGCTGTTACAATCATTCTTCCCTTCTATTAATGAGTAAGTACTAATATATATATATATAATAGATAATGTGTATAAATATCATTAGAACAAAGACGATTAAAAATATTGTTTTTATATATCTAAATAAGAGACCACAATGAAGTTTACGTATTAGTTTTTAGATACAAACATAAATTAAAAGTGTAGATACTTATAGTTATTATTTGCTCAATTACACAAATAGTTTTCAAAGATATCCTACACATGATTCAAAATCTTGTAGGATATGCGCCATAGTGATAACATATCTGTCTATTATTCTATTATTATTACCATCTGTGATAAAATAGATGTAACATAATTTAGCGTCCGTCAATAAATGCATGATATCATTGTAACAAAACGAAATGAAATTATACCAACCTCGGTGTCCATCAAATTTAATTAAAAAATATTAAAGAATCATTTCAATGTAAATAAATGTAATAATAAAATAAAATCATTGTATTTCTAACCATACGTATACTGTACACGTTCACGTAGTCTTAGAACTACCACAGAAAAGATCTCAGAGAAAAGACAAAGATTTGAAACCTATAACACGCCAGCTTTGACATTGGTCGTTTAAAAATATAATAAAAACAACTGTAATGGCTTAACAGTAACTTGAAGTGGCAAATTACTCTAAATGATATAACCTAATTTATATTTTAATCTAAGTGCAGCGAGATTATTTTGTGTACAGTTAAAAAACAGAAGTTTAGGTACTTCCCGCGTTAATTACAATGAGACGCGGAATGTGCAATCTTGTTATTTTTCATTGCTTATTGCGGGATACAAAAACAGAAGTCATTTTACTTCGCTAAGATAGAGGCCCAAATGTAGGCCTGTAGCCTTTTACGAGTATGAAAAAAAGTAAAATCATTTGCCATTTTTTAAAGGCACTGGACTCTTTGGTTTTAACCCTTTCATCTCTATACATTTCTATCTACGCGTATATTTAATACAAGTCAAATGTAATGCCGCTCAAATTTAAAAAACTAAATAAATACTATAGCTACTTTTCATATTCGTTTCTAAAAATGTTTTCTGATGAACCTTAATTAGAATACGGCAACTGTATCAATTATAGATAATGATGCAATTGGCGATGACGCCGTTATTATTAGAGATTGCAAACAAACAAACATGCCGTCACGACTATTATCCCAGATGGAGTAGTTGGAGACATTGTTAACTGTTTAAATTGTGGTGAACACAACTTGTATACATATCCACATTTTGATGGGTATATTGAAATCTATGTAAATATGCAGGGGTTTAGATTGCTGCTATCGACTGTTGGATTATTTTGCTATTGAATATCGGTATTTTCACCGGAAAGTATGTTAGAAATGTAAATTGATAAAACAGTTTTTTCTTTGACTTTTACAAGTAATAACTGTACAATCAGTATTTCTTGAATAGTCTCTCAGATAATAATTTCTAAAGGACTATTACATAATATTAGCTGAACGTGACTGAACAACTCAATCGTAGATATTGTGCTCAGAAATTATTGTCTAAATAAACCCATTTTCGTATTTAATTCTTTATATACATAAAGATTAAAATCTAACAAGATATCGAACCCTTAATAATATACTATAGAGATTAATTAATAGTAACGAGCAATTTTTTGTTAGAAGAGTAAGTATAGATACAGTATATTAAGCGTGAGATATTTTATACTCAACAATATAGTTATCAACACATCCAAATTAAAGAAAAAACATTTTTGTCCATGTTACGTGTCATTTATATGCGTAAAAATTGAAATTGTTCCAATGTTATATAGACCTCATCAATAAAATAGGCCATGCAGTTAAAATTAATATTAAAATTATTGTTATTGACAATTAAAGTAGTTTATAATAGTAGTAAGGATATATTACTGGAACTTATAATGTGATTTTTTTATAATTACCTATTATTTCATAGTGTTACAAACACTTTGGCCACTGAGTGGACTGGAAATGGTTTATATAATGAAACAACTAAATAATTTATCCACTTTCCCTGTCTTTTTCTACATACATCGCTGCTGCCATTGGAATATTTCACAAAGACAAGACATTCATTGTATGATTTGACTTTTTGCATTTTTCATATTCGCAGATTGAGACCATCTTCCCTATTAAAACTTTGGTTTTTGTAAATAATAATTATTTCTCTCACTATTCGGTGCATCCTTTCAAAAACGCAGACATACATAAACTAGGTATAGATAAGATAAAATTATTATTAAAAGAAACAAAGCAAAGATATAATAATGCGCGGCCTTGTTAAATAGGGATCACTTTCAGGCAACCTTAGGATGGCGAGGACTAATTAGACTAGCGTCTGGCGCAGGTGTAAATCTTGAATAATGAAACATGTTTAATAATAATATATTATAAAACAATAAACACGTATAGTAAGAAAGATGATATTGAAGACAGATTATATTCTGACATTCTGTCCATAAACGAACATGGCCGCATTCCATAAATAAGTTTTATATTTTTCTATAGAATAAAAATAATTTAAATCTTTATTTTCTCGCCGATAAACAAACGCATTTTCTAATTAGTTATTTTGAAATCTAGTTATTAAATCTATGTATTTATTACTAATATCAATTTTCTGTTTCAGGTACCGATACATTAACGTACTATTCTTTTGTTTCGACTGGTTAGCAATGAGTAATTCATGCTATAATCCATTTATTTATGCCATATATAATGTGAGTATTATTTTTTTTATACGTACTTACCTACAATCGGCGGATCATGTTGTACTTAATCATAACAAGATAATAAATAAATCAATAAAATATAATTAAAATTTAAGATTTAAAATTTTAGCAAAGATACTACTAGTTAGATATTAAGAATATTAACAATTCGAGAGTAATTTTGGCGTGTTACAAAGGTAAAAATACCTTTGTAACACTTAACTTGTTAATAATTTTGAACCAATTTTGATACTTCGTGATTATATTCTACAAGATTAGTCTTCGTTGATCAATTTTATCAAAATTAAAATTGACTTTGCTTTCAAATCACTGACAAAACGGTGTGTTCTTAATAAGGCAATATTTTTTAGCTACCAATTTATCGTAAAGGCCAAAGTTATGCGAAAATCGAAATACGTTCAGTTATAGCAAAGTTATCGCATAATAACTGAACGTATTCCGATATATTTTTTAGCAGCTTTGTCGTTTACTGCCATGTCGATCTCTTTATATTTTGTCAAGATTGGCTCCAATTTTCGTTTGTAGCACAAAGTTTTAAATCGTTTTAACTTTATACTACAGCACTGCAGCGTATTTATCGACTATAATTGTTTATTATTATTATTATATATATATAAGATTCTCATATAGCAGCAAAAATAGTCAATATTATGGTGGAAGTCACAAATTTTAACCGTGTCTAATCAAAATTATCATTATGTATAATAATTTAGGAAACGCAAATGAAAAACATATGTGATTAATTTCCTACAAACATATGTCGCACCGCAATATTTTTGTAAAGTCGACTGTAATAGAGTTATTTCCTTACTAAAATAATATTATAAATATAGAAAATATTTTATCATTTTTTCGGATTACATAATACATACGTATACAAAAAAGAGGTGTTTATTAATAAAACAGTTTTAGCTACATATAAATTCAATTTTCCAGATGAATCGAAATACTATCTATTTTATTAACATTTCTAAACAAATAATAAATTGATGTCATGGTTGTTTGATTTATATCTAGGACCGATCATTTTTAATTGGATACTAAAAGATTTTTATGACTGAAGCTTTACTGAAAATATTGGGTATTTCATAAATTGTGTAACTATTTAGTATGCATGGAATCAGACCCCGGTATCAGCTGGCTGCAGTAAACTGTTGTTTTTGAGTTATTGATACTACCACGTTGACCTTTGCGTTTGCGTTGACGTAGCGCTTTGCAAATAATGGATAGGGTAAAAACTATCATATGACTCAGCTATCAAGTAACTGAATCTAGAATACATTTTAAAATACATAGTACTAGTATAGGTTCGAATAGAGAACATTTGTTAGAGGACGAGAATGTAATAAAATAATGTTTTATTACATTCTAATGAAACCTTATTTCCTAAATAACGACACGTATATGTTTCTTTATACGAATTCTAGGCTTCTTAATTGAAAAACTCTAATATCTTCTTTTATAAAAAGAGAAGACAAAAAATAATGTACAACTTATATAAAGTGATGATTATTTACATGAGAAATTATAAAGTTATAATTAGTTACACTAATCAACCACAAATACCTAAGTTACATTTCGCTTAGATTTGTTAATTTATATTTGAATTAACATTGTAGTGGATGGTACGAGTCAGCACTTTTTCACTCTTGTTATGGTCCGATACAATAAATAACAAAACTGTTAATTTCATCGTTAACTAAATATTTTTACTTGGATGCTCTTCTGTGATCTTTATTCAAATAAAACGAGATAATGAATCATTAAACATTGGGGAAGTGTTGACCTTTATCATGGAAGCTCTACCCTGTTGATTGATTACTTTTACTTCGTTTACCTCGCGCGTCTAATAAACAGTTATTAATCATTAAATTTTCGGGGTAACCTCGAGAAAGAATCGGAAGGATTTAAACTTATCTTCCTGATAAGTGTTATTATATATAATATCTATACAAAAAATTACAATTACAGTCATGGAAAGTGCTAAAAAGTTTAATATAAACAATTCAATTTCATGAAAATGGATTAACATTTTTAACTTTCAACATATAGTTTATTACTTTTTGTATTCCTCCTATATTGACTGATCGTATATTACCTATACTAGTTACTATATACATATAAAATATTTTGAGTTTTCATTATGTATTAACCATATTCACATAATTAGTTATGGACTATAGATTAGAGTGGTTAGTAAATTATAAAAATTACATTTGTAAGCAAAAATAAGTATAATAAATTTTTCAGCATAGATTGAAACAAAATTTATTATATTCATTTACTACCTTAATTTTATAAAGCATTGTGAGATACTACTTTTATTGTAACAAGGCATATAATCTAAAATAACAGTATTTTATAATTTCTTATTATATAAAGTGGTATATTTTATACTTGAATGTTGTATTTTTAGATTCAAAAATTTCAGTTATCTTATACTGCCGACGAAGGTAGTGATTTACTGTGAATAAATGAGAGCCATTAGGAATTGTAAACTTAGGCTTTGACTCAATTTGGGGAAATCTAAAACTTCCACGAAGATAAGTTATACAAATAAAATACATACCTGGATAGTAGAGAATGCTTTTAAAGTACAATGTTTACAAAGTAACTGTATTTTATAACAGAATATTAATGAGCGCCAATTACTAGATAACTTAGGACCAAAACGCCATTTTATTAAACATCAACATGACGAATATTCATTAATTCAGAAAGGCACAAATATGCCGAGAGTTATAAATACTAACTATCGTTAGTTTTATTATTTCAACTATACATATTTGCATTGGACGGTATAACAGAAAACATTAGATGCCAGCAACAGTCGTGACAATGATATTATATTATTTTTATGATATTTGACCGAATTTCAGACTTATAATTATAATATTCAAGTTGCACACATATAATCGCAATCCCAATGATTAAAGTCACAGGTAGAAGCTGGTTTCATTATAAAGTAATACGTCATTTGGAGATTCAGTTGGCGTTAGATTACAGATATACAACTTGAAAAAAGGGTCACTCTCGTGTTAAGATACATCAGTCCCTCCTTTCAGTGTGGAAGTATAGTTAACACGCATTTCCGAGTGAGTGCCCAAGTATTTATTTACGTGGTCACGAAAAATACTTAGTAGTTACCACGCAGTCATGCAAGGAAAAGGGTTTACGAATATCGCTCTATATATATTATGGGTGGACGGATCCATGGTAATTCTAGTAATTACTTATGAGTATCTCAATATTGCAATATAAGTTGTAGATGCTACGTAAATTCAATCATATGTATCGAGAAAATTAAAAAAAGAACTTAAATCTTCAATAGTTATAATTCCATTTTACCTATTAATAGTACGATAATCAAAATTAAATTACATCTCAAATTAGAACTACATACTATACTGCTACTGTACTAATTCTTCTTGTCACCATTTCATGTACAGATATATGTACGTAAAATATAAATGACATAGAGACAATTGGAATAAGGGGAAAGAGATGCACGCATGCATGCATGGACAATAAAAAACCATGTAACAAGAGCTAAAAGAAAGACATATTCGCAATGTATATAAGTAGGAAGATTATCAGAATTTTGATCCGAGATATTGAATATCAAGACATTTACAAAAGCGATTACAAAAAGTAGTGTTCGTTTCACGTTGACGTTATTATTTATTGTTTTGTAGCAGTATTATTAAAACATTTACAGAAAACAAGAGTTCATGCAAAATGTAGGTCAACATCTGAACATCAAGTATATAATTGTTACGAAGTTACAGTAAACATTACAATTTCGTGAATAGGAAAGAGATTATACCGTTTATATTTGTGAATTTTAAGAGCTAGAATTATAAAACTGAAAATAAAAGACTTTGTTATACAATGTCGAAGAAAAGGGTAAAATAATCATTTTAAAGCATAATTTTTGAAAAAGTTTTCCCCTTTCATTTTTTGCTATTAGCATTTTAAGCATTAATTTTACTTTCTTTGTATGTACAAATATAATACGTAAGAATACTAATAAAACATTATATTTTTACCAAAGAAGTTCTGAACGTGTTTGGATGTTTCTTAGTAATATTTTGAAGTGGATATATAAAATCACAAAGAGTTAATTTAACTGAAATGAAAGGAGAAAATATTTTGCGGCGGTATCTAACAGGGAAAAGAGCAAAGTCACAATGAACACTAAAAATTCTTACAATAATATTTTGCGGGTAGAAATGATGTATTATTTCTTGTAAAAATTTGCTTGCGGAAACCTATGAAAGTCAATGTTTATTAATCTAAAATTATGAAGTGGCCTGTCTTGACTGACTAATCAACAAAAAAATCGTATTTTTTTCCATATTTGCGAACTTCTCTGTAAAATTATAAGTATAGATTACTTCCTGCGTTCCTCTTCCGCAGTACATAATATAAGTCGAGCGATAGATGACAAAGGACTGCCAACTTTTTATTAGACTCTAATAATATCATGCAAAATACGAAGTCATTTCAATATTAAACGAATGTCTTACATTACAGGAAAAGTTTAAGAAAGAATTTAAACAACGATTCACTTTTGGGAAAAAACCTAGTCGATTCGCCAATGACAGCTATGAGGTAAGTTATTATTATTTTCAAACTAGGGACATGATAAATATATTTATCATCCATACTGAAACAAAAAATTTTTAGCCCCTTTTACGAAAATTGCGCGGACGGAGGAGTATGAATTTGTCACGCTCATAGTTTATATAGAGGAGTGTAGAGTACAATTACTTTTTTTAATTTTGCTTGAAATAAATCAATAAAGAAAACATTAAGCACACTACTATGTATTTGATACACACACGCATATATACTGTTTTGTATATTGTTTCATCAAATTGAGAATAGAGTAATATATCTTTAATATAATTTGTCTATAGTTTCTAAATGATAAATGAATTATGGTCGAATTTCGAATACCGATTGATAACTAGTCTATATTGGAATGATACCTGTATGGAGTTTGCAAAGATTGTAGCAGTCTAGTGTTATATGGAAGTCAGAGAACAAAAAATGAACAATCTAGTTTATACATAATAATGTATAACACATAAAATATATTCTTGTTGGGCCAAACTGTCTGATCCCTCGTTTAAAATTAAACAGTTAACGGAATCGTATATTAGAAATAAAATGAAACCTTTTTACGAACCTTTTTAGATATATAAATCTGAACATCTAAATCTGGTTTATGTTAAATTTTCATTAGTAAATATTATTTTTGAATGTATTAAAATATGTGAAATTACTGTATTATACGAAGTATGACAATTTTTGTTGAATTTCATTACGGTACCTAGGCAGAATGTATAACAAAATATCGCCGTAGTAGTTAGTAGTAGCGTTGAAATCAGTCCGTATCACCTTTACAGAGTTTAGGCACAATTCACGATAGAAAGGAAATAATGGATTCTAATTAGTTGGCCATAGTAATTTTCTAGATCTGAATTTCTGATGATATCTTTGTGAAAACGAAAATTTTGATACTAAAGGTTCGGCTTTGCTATTTTAGCATAATTGTAGTAGAATGTACTGAAATTATATTTCTGTTCATTGTTTATTTACCAAAACATTTATGTAATACAATAATAAATATACAGTGATTTTTTATATAGTCATTTTTATAAACAAAACATTATTGAAGATTAATTTAAAAAAATATTAAATAATGTGAAACATTTATTAAACCCAACAGTATTTTACTTTCTCAACTATGCAAAATGCAACTATTTTCTTACTGTCAATTTAAATTGTTTATTAGTATAAAATTTTGAATAAACTGCTGATTGCTGAGGATCTAATATTGTTTATATGTGACGTTGGTATTATGAAAACTCTTAAGGGATTTAAAGTAACAGGATCGCATAACCAGCAACAACTTGTCTGTCTTTACGATAAATTCACTGTGAGGTAAATAGACATCAGCGACACGTTTTCCATTGTATTTTTTCTATGTTCAACACAATATATTTCTGTTACAGGATGGACAATCATACAGAACTAGAATATTATCATTCCGCTCAACAAATGATAGAACTGTGTACTCTGCGAGGAAATCTATAAACCTTGTACACCTTGATTCATTAAAACCAACAGGAAGAAGTTGCCAATGTTTAAGAAATCAGAACAATTTACAGAGTGGTAATGGATTTAGAATAATGGCATCTAATGAAGTTAATGATAATAATAGCAGTGGTAGTAAAAATAAGAGAAATTCATCAGCCAAAAGACTGTCCAATAATGACTTGCCCATAGGAGACGAAAGAGTTAGTGAATTATATATATTTCCAAATAGTAACATTGTTGAATTTACAGATATATCTTACGACGACAAAGTGTAAATATTATACTATGTAAATATTCCATTGATTTGTGATGTTAGAGATATGTGAATGTAGTAGCAAGATAATTAAGTACAAAATAAATTTACGTCTTAAAAAGTGTTTTATTTTAATTTTACAAAACAAATAAAAGTTTAAATAATCAATTTATAACTCTCATTAAATTCAAGATAAAATGGCAGACAGGTCTAATAAAGGACATCACTTAATAAGTAGATATAATATTCAAGAACAATTTCATTAGCGATAGCTACAGGTACCTGCGAAACATGGTTAGATATATGCAAAGTACTTGTATGCACTTGTACGAGGAATATTAGAAGGGCGAGACAGCGATACGTGATAAAGCAGTTATCAGATGACGTCTTGTCTGCCTATAACGGTCCCCTGTCTAGGCCGCATACTTCAAATTCTATCTAAGTATAGTCCACGAAATTTAAACAGGTATTATTAAGTCTTTGAGATAAGAATATATGACAGACCTTACGCCGAAGTGGTGTTTTTTTCCTAAAGATAGTCTCTGTATCATGATAATTATAGAATCTGACAATGTTTAATCAGATGTGTGAATAAGAAATATTTCGTGGAAAAGTTGATGATTAAATAGTGGTGTCAGAATCATAAAGTATTTTACGAAACATCAAATATAAAAATGTAGTTAACGAGGTATTTAAAAATAGTGTTGGTAGCAATAAACTTTCAATGATAACTAGAACAAGTATTTATAGAGAATGATGAACCGCAAAAATTGTAAGTTGTAGCGAGTTTGTTTGAAAACAAGAAAATTGACAATTATATCTCGCCCGATATTTTCCCTGTCTTATATAGTACCTGTAGCTTTTATTTTTGTATAACATATTCAATTGGCGTTTACAATAAAGAATATCTTCCTATCTACATACAAATTTTATGTATAGAGAAATAAAGAGGTATAGACAAACTAATTTTAAATGAAGAATAATTTTCGCAAAATTGACTACTTTATTTAACTTCATAACTGTACATTTATGTATATATGTATCTATAATTTTTATAATTGAAAGTGTTATGTATAAAAAGTGTAATCTAATAACTAGTCCATTACATTATACTATTGTATCAACTAAACAATGAAAAATAGATATATAGTAAATAAAAAAGACATTAAATATACCTAATACTGTTAACAAATATACCAAATAATGTACATGTATGTTCTCGCGAGGATTACATAAATAATTTTAGTTCCAGGGCATTTAATAATCTTAGAACCATGTTTATGGTAAGACGTGTCTAGAGATTTATAAAGTTTCTCACAAATATTATTCAAGCCATAAAAATAACGCCATGTTTTTACATCAGAAATAATATCTATCTAATATTCTCATAGAAAAATAAATCTGATTACATTTGTTTCGTCTTCTTGTGATGTTTTTACAGGATTTTATGAGCTGAATAAATCAATTGAACCGTAGTACGACAATGACCTTTCTCACCACTTAAATGTGAATCATATTTTTCACTCTTCTTTTATTATTCGTAAGAAAAAATCATACCTCTGGTATTGTATTGTTTGTTTAGTCAGTTAATCTGAGCTATATGTTATGAGCCGGAAAAATATATGTTTACATATCTTTAAATATATACGTGTTGTATTACGGATTCGTATAAATAAGAAATAAAAATGTACAGTGGACTGTATACTTTGAATAGAAAATGTATATTATAATATATATACAATTTCACCCGCGAAAGAAGTCTTGCACAGTCTGAACACCCTAAAGCAATGTTACACCAAACTTGCTCACCTTTGCTCAAATGTTTTTTTTTTTTATTCTATATTCGAAATTTAAGTGGCCACATGTTTTTATTTGTGGCCAGTATTACCAAGCGTCCTTTTCTCCACTAAAGCAAGTTGTCCAGTAAACCGGTGATACAACCTGCTTAGACAAAGGAAATTCGGAATACGGAACAATACGTATACTTTAAAGATGACGTCAAAAGTCAGCTTTTTCAAATTAATTTAATAAAATGATAAATAGCTGCCTTTATAGGACATGTAGTTTCATATGCGATAAAGAACGCTCGCATTTTTGCGCGGCAAAGTCAGCACGTGCAGTCGTGTATGATTGCATTTTACTATTTTTTGCGTTTACTTTTTTGAGGTACACTTTCTAATTATTGTTAAAATTACTAAAAGTATTGTTATGGCACAGAATCAATTTTCCAATACCATGTTTGAGATATATAAATTAAAATAATATATATTTATATATATATATGAAAATAACTATGTCTTAGTTTCGTAGGCTCTTGTCCGCCAGATGTCCGCCATTTTACAATGGGAAATAATAATTACAAAAAGGCACTCAAACACGCATAGCTGAAAGATACGAGAAATGCGCAAGCTGGCGGACCGCACGATCATTCTTGTTGTTTACATTTAGATATATAGGAACGAAATTCCTGCGTGAAAGCAGATTTGCCCGTGAAAGAACGTCACGTACGTTCTTTCAAAGGGGCTCCAAGATTACCTATAACTAGGCTGTTCTTCATGCCTTTACTTGTTTACTACATTTTTGGAAAGATATTCTCAGCTCACTTAATTCTTTTTAATGCTTTGAGATTGTTTCTTTGGAATTATTCGTTTTAAGGTAGCATAAACGAAAACATCAGAATATTACTCAAAACTAGCTGTACCCGCGACTTCGGGGTTTAGTTTTACTTTGTTTCTCTAAAATAAAAGTTTATTACATCCGCTACCTGCCAATAAAAGTCCCATCAAAATCGTTTCAGAGATTAGCCGGAATAAACAGACAGACAAGAATTGTAAAAAATGTTATTTTGGTGTATTTGTATTCATATGCATGTAGTAAAAAACGGTTATTTCAATATTACAAACAGATACTCCAATTTTTTTTATATGTATAGAGTATACACGAATATAGATAATATTAGTTTTACATAATATTTATAAATTCCCGAACAATAAAACAAATTAATTATACAACAAATTTATACTATTCATCAAATATACACGTTCTCAACATGATGGATATAACTCGATAGGGGTCTGCGTTCGATGCCGGCCGCCTGTCTTCCAGGTACCCTCGTTTGTCTTCTGACACCTGTCGAGGAATCCTAACACTGCAACTTCTGTTCGCTACACCTGCATGAACAACAAGAAACAGGTAATTTTAGTAACTTCAGAGGTACCTGTATATTATTTTATACCTCACGTCAAAAATAAAAGATTTGGGGTATTTAGGCGGTAGGAGTTTGGAAGTACGAGCTCGTTCATCTCCCCCAATGCGGGCGGAACTCCATGATTGATTATCCGCACATAAAAAGGTAATCAAACTATTTCCTATACTGCTCATGTTAAAAATCTCGGTTTATTGATGGACAGTATTCTTAGCTGGAACAATCACGTTAATGAGATCAGTCGAAAAATTACAATGGCACTGCGTAATTTATATAGGCTTAAAAATTTCCTCCCTATAAGAATTCTCCTTATACAATCCTTAGTCTTTCCCACCCTTGATTACGCAGATGTGTGTTGCTCTGACATGAATGTCGACCTTTTAAACAAATTGGATCGTCTTCTCAACAACTCTATCCGCTTCATTTTTAATCTCCGCAAGTTCGATCATATTTCTTCTTATCGTTCACAGCTTAAATGGCTACCTATCCGTTACCGTAGAAATGTACGTATTCTATGTACTCTATACTCCATTTTATACGATCCAAATTCTCCTGATTATATTAAGAAAACACCAATCACGGTATTCGCTCAACTAGAAAATTTTTACTTCATATCCCGGCTCATTTATCCGGTTTTGTCCACTATTCTTCCGTTTAGGCTATCAAACTTTGGAATGACTTACCTCTTGAAATCAAAACCGCTACGAATAAAATTTCTTTTAAACATAAACTACGGGAACATTATCTCAATTTGTAACTTTTTACTACTCTCTTCTATTTCTCTTTCTTTCACTATTTTTCCATTCTACTCTCTATGGTTCTGTGACTGTCAGACTATTGAGTATCTAGTATATATTTATTTTATATATATAATTATTTGTATATATGTATAATATAATATTTGCATATATTTATGTAATTTATGATTGTATTCCTTAGATATATATTGTATTTATCATTCTGTTTATATTTTGTTGCTTTTTATTTATCATTTATTATATTTGCACCGCCAACATTTACTCTCTGCACCACCAATGGTCGACTGGTAGAAAATGCCGCATGGTGTTAAGTCCGCCAAATGTACTTTACTATATTTTGTATATTGTGTGCATTGAAGTTAAATAAATAAAAAATAAATAAATAAATGTAGATATTTAATTCCTATCTAAAAATAGGCCTAAAATGAAAGCATTATGGCCCACTGTTTCCTAATTTTAGCAGTAAGTCCATAATATAAAATGATACCATTACAAATATGTAATTGAATACTAGAAACTTCGGAAATAAATCAAATTAGTTCAAGAGACGACGATAGGCTAGTTACCACCATGTTGAATACAAATATTTAGTATGTGTTGATATCATATTACATGAAGTGATCAGTATGTCGCCGTAATCTGTAATTTCACTGCGATATCTTGCTCTTCAAACCCAAAAGTTACTTTGATTGTTTGCTTTGCCTGGCGGCGAAAACATAGGATACAGAGGAGTGCCTCGGTAACAAAACTATATTGCATATAGTCTCTCGAAAAATTAAAATGGATTATCATCTGCAACATTTTATAGTGGTTTCACAAGGAATCTGATGAAAACCTTTTTTAGCTAAATATTTTATATGTAATGTAATACTAAATAGACATGTTATTTTGCAATCATATTTAATTACAAAATACATATTGTATGCTTTGCCAGAAATACGATTTAGTTATTTGGGGTCGTTTAAAGCCAAAATTGAATTTTGAATTGGATTTGATGTAGGTATCAGAGGTAAGTGGCTGGAGGTGAGAGATAAAAACTAAAAAACATGTTGTGATTTTATGATTATCATCGTGAACACTTTTCTACAAAAACATTGTAAGCAAAATAAAAAATTATTTTATTATTTACTACACATACATTTTACATTAATCTTAATCTTATTATTATTAATATTATAAATACAAAAGTTTGTGAATATGGATGTTCGTTACTATTTCACGCAAAAACTACTGAACGGATTTTGATGAAACTTTACAGTAATATAGCTTTTGGATCAGAAAACATATTGGCTTTATTTTTAATTGAAATTTAACATGGGTGAAGCCGCGGTCACAGCTAGTATACATTTAAGTTAGTTATCATTTAAAATGATTATTTATTTTTATAAAATTATAGGTATAATAATAAAATCACCAGCACGCTTACTTTTATCTATAAGTACTAAACAACTGATAGAAACAGTTAAAAACTTATCTTTTACAATACATAATAAACTAACATAGAAAACACCCACATCAATACAAACAATCATACTCTTTAATACAAGTGTTTCCATCGTACGGGAATCGAACTCGACTCCTTCGGATTTAAGGCGGTGTGCTAAATGCAAGTAATTGGCATGCAAACACACACACTCTTAATTCAGACCAATGTGTTCTGTCAAGAAAGTTCAATTTAGACTTAGAATCCACATTACTTACACGTATATTACCTAGACATCCAATAGGAAAGGTTTTTGGGAATACCCACGGGGACCAGAGGCAATGGAATTTTCTTATAGTCACAGCATTTTGTAACATAATATATGCACGCTACATTCTCTATGTCACCTATGTATGTGTATGTATGTGACATTTATGTATTATTGTTTCTGTTGTATCATTTTCACCCCAAATATAAATTTTATGAATGTTCTCATAAATATTTTAACGTTCTTAGGGTTTCATGGCGAAATGGGAGAAACGGAACCATTAAAATTTCTTTATGGCTATCTAGTCCTACATGTTCATTGTTTATATGTCGCATACAGATAACGTTGAACTTTACGTTCGATCCTCCTGAACCTTTACAGGAATTTATATTCAAAGATGACCTTAATAAATTGGTTTTTAATTCATCAATGAAAAGAAATAAACGTGGTAACTAAAATAGTTAAGAGATCTCAATGATACGGATACGTTATATCAAATGAAAAGTCGTTATCTGAAATTGAAAGGATCAAAATACTGTCGGCAATGTCAATTGTCCGTTTCAAATAGCAGACTATATCGCTAGACCGTCCTTAGAATTGTCAAAAACTTTATTCTCTTTATTTTTACGTTTCCTTCACTGTATACATAAATGAAGAGGTTATCGTAATGTATCGTTTGCTATCCAGATTGGACCAAAACGAATCTGGCCGACACCTAACACTATGAGTATCAATTTATGATTTTATGTTAACTGTCTCTCCTGTGATGTTTAATATCGGTATTTCCTTCAATGGAGAGTAAAGAAAATACCGATATCAAACCGTACTAAACTGAAAGACAGCAGTAGACTCGCCCCTATCAAGTGGAAGTCAAATATACCCGTATTGTAGGCATGCCATAAGTTATTTTCACCATGACGTCGACAGGTGACTATTTCATTTGAGATAACACTTATGAAGATTATAACTTCATTTAATTATGATTATTATGCAGAGATATTGAAGAAATTGTATTCTTATTTACAAGCAACATTAATTACTAATTAATATTAGGCAACATTCAACTTATACCCGTATGCTATTCCCGTATAAACAATCGAATAAAATCCATAAATATTCTATGGAACCCTATTAATGGTAAACTGATACAATCTTGTTGATTTTATTATTTCTACTCTACGCAGTACGAAGCTTATGATATTATTTATACCTGGGATTAACATAATAATAACGCAAAAGTCTCAAATTTTATTTTTAGAAACCTTATATCATTTTCAATTTTATATCCTTACATTAACTGCCTACTGCCTGACACATAGAAATTGTAAAGCTTAGGCTTAACGTTTACAGATATAGATTTTATAAATAATAAATAAGTGATATTTTCCATTGTTCTATTGTTTCATTTTAAAATTGTGTTTAAAATAAAAACATTTGGTTTTATTTTAAAATTGATTTTAACTTACATATAACAGTAATAAACGGTTGTTAAATTACCCGCAGTAAAATCCCTAATATGAGGCATCCCATTTTTTCCCGTGAGACGGCGGGCATTGTCAGCTCCATTGTTAGCGTCATACTCGTTGATGTGAGCACCATGACGTCGAGCCAATTTGTCTATAGCTCGTTCAATCACCCTAGGAACCAATAAGTACCAAATCAATACTGTCGCATACGGATTTATCACAATAATAGGAAACGTGTTAGATATTTTACTTCAAATTCCGTTTCAAAAGGAACTAACTACTAAATATTATATTTAATGTTTCCTCAAATTTCTCTAACCAATTCTGATAGGCGCATATGACTGGGGACCTTAATTTACAATGAAGAATGTTAACTAATTTTGAATATTAAAAATATAAGTGAAAGAATACGTCAATTACGTCAATTAGTTTCTGATTTATAGAAGTAAACGTGCGATGCGGACTCGTGTGACGGTGTGACGTCATAGTACAACACTCGCTCAGTCCGCTCGCGCTCTCAGCACGGAGTCGTCTTACGTTTCTTTAGAAATTATAAATATCTTTAAAAATTACCAAACCAAATACTAGGAAATCATGTGTTGTGCCGAAATGTACAAATACAACCACCAAAGCAATAGTTATTTTTATTATAACCACAAAAATTCCAACAAATTTGATAACAGTCGTTGAGTCCTCTCTTTGACGATGTAGTCACATTAAAAATGCTACAGTACGTTTACAGCAGCACAATCTTTGCAAGTTGCGTTTAAAACTTCTTGGTCCTTTTCATTACATTCTAAACTGCAACGGTACCGTGTGGTACGTACGCGGTGTTCGCGCGTGATTCTACATTTGACCGTACAAACATCACTTGCTCTTTTAACTTGTATGTAACCGATAGCATCATCACCAAAGCTGTCTCTTGCCGACCTGGAATAAGTTACAAATAAAAAAAAAAACGGCCTATTAATAAGACAAATCAAAATTTAAAAAGGTTTAGTACATCTGTTCAACCCACTACATTTGCAATAGATCAATATATGTGTTTAGTTAAATTTTTTAAAAGAGGTACCTATATTCACATATGTACATACGTACCTATAGACATAAAACTCTAACACACATTTGTTGTCTATATCGTAAAACTTAAAGGTTTGGTACTTCTGCCTATTTGAGTTGCAATACGTATACGACATCAGTTGGGTATTTTTTTTAACAAAACACTTTAAAATAGATAAATAATTTTCTAAATAGCAAGAAAAGTTAACTTACCTTTGCATTTTTATTCCTCGCATTTCGGCGGCAATGAAATCATTATTTGTTGATAAATAATGGGCAACCATTAGTTTAGACATTATTTTAGGCAGATCATCCGATTGCCCTTTTTCGATTACTTCATCCTTTTCATTAATAGAATATTATCGTAATGCGCGGATGAAAACAAAACAAAATAGTGCATAAACTCCTTAGCCACTGACCTACCGCCGGCAACTCGCTACTAGGCGGAGTGGACCGTTGTTAAATGACGTCACATGTCACGTGACTGTTAGCGGTACTCGAAATTTCTCGTAAGTTTAAATGCCTATAAAATCAAAACTAATAGGTATTTTTGACTAAAACAAAAACTAATATATTTGTATACATACAAGCTTTACTATACCAAACTTTCAACCGATTTGGCATACCCATTAACATTCTTCATTATATAAATATTTTAAGTGGAATAAAAATTATCTCATTGCTCAATAATGTATTACAACTATTAAACTCACACTGAGTTTAATAGTTATAATACATTATTCCAAGACTATCTAAATGAAATAAATGTAGAAAAATAAACTTTCATCGTGATCCAATATAAATATTATGTACATAATTTTGGATAAAAAATAAATGTACTTATTTAGTTTAAGACAATAGTTCATGGTAATTGGAAACAAAACTATGTCTCGGTAAATTATTTTATAAAAACTATACATACAATATAGAGATTACTTGATAGTGCATATCCATCTATTATAAAAAGTATAACTTAACATGATGTTCTTTGATTTACTCTTGAATGTATTTTGGTACTCGATAACACAATTTAAAAATAAGTATTTAAATCAAAGCTGAATTGGAATCAATTTATAATATACAATTCGTTTCTAATGAAGTGCCAAAGCTGAATAAAATTCTATTGAAAAAAATTACCACAGGATAAGTCTGGGAAAAAGAAAAATGCAGAAATTTGCGTGACGCGATTCCACGATTATGATAATTTTATTGCGGTAGCAGGTGCGGCATATCTCGCATTTTTATAAAATAATATTTTAAATAATTAATATACAAACTAAACTATCTCATCCAGCAAAAAAATATGTAGAAAAAGCAATAATTTTCATAGGCATATAAAATACGTCTGAAAATAATTCCACTAAATATACACATAACATATACGAGAAGTTTATATATGTATATACTTATACTATGTATGGGGTGAATCTATGAGGTGTTCTCTTCAAGAGTAGTTTTACGGTTTCTTTGTCGTCTGTCAAGATTGGATAATAAAACTCCTTTCCTTTCCTTAGCTGTTTTTATTTCCTAGAATCTTCCCACACGAGTCGTAGCGTAGGTGTAATCTTACGCATGTAGGAAGAGATGACTCCCTGTTGTCTTACTATTATTTTATTTTGTAGAATAATAAATGATTTCCAATCATAAGTTTTATAACTAAGGTTTATGGTTAAGAACAACTAGATAAATGATGTGTCACTAATAAAAAACTAAGTGATTTTATTCTCCTATTTATTTATAGTCCTTCGTGACATATTAACTAGACACTGACTTAGAATATTTTATATTCTGTCATTAATTAAAAGTTTATAATGTGGTAATGACAAAGTAGAATTGAACCAAAATACAAGTATAAAATTTATCCTCGTAGGTACAGTATGTAGAATATTTATTTATTGCTCCCATAGACACAAACCAATACATGAGTAGAATAGGATTGGTTTTTCAATCGTCAGCATCAGTTGACTGCCCTCAAAATAATTGATTAATGTAGTTTGTACCTAAATATATTTTTATACTTTTGTTATGCATAATAGTATGTTTAATTGGCACTATACAAAAAAAAACAATAAAGGACGCTTATAAGTGATGATTTGTCTTCTATGTTCACGCATCATAAAAGACCTAACCCACAGAATTCTGTGTTCTAATACTTAGCCAAATATATTCTTAAGTATAGGAAGAAAGAAACTATTATTTATATTACTTACAGTATACCGTCATCCTCTCTCATGTCCTTTGAAGAAAAATACACAAATGTGCCGCTTCCCGGCCAATCTAGCACTGGTTGAGGCTCAAACGTTACCACAGTACCATATTCTTCAGCCAAACGGGCTAAAATGTAACGAGACATCCACAGGTCGTCGCCTGATCGAATAGCAGGACTGGGTCCTACCTATACAAGCAGTACAGTATTAAAAAATAATTAGTTCTTCTAATATTAGTAACTTTATCCTACGGCACATTACAGACGTCCATTCACATCAGTTACTATATATACAATATAAGCATGATGAAGTAAGAATCAACAGAAATTCTACAAACTTTTCGTGTATAATTTTCTGTTTATGCGTTAATGGTTGTTTCTTGGTTGCGGGAGTCTAATTATGTAGATTTACATTAAAAATGACAATATTCATTAATCTGTATTACATTAGGTATTTGGGATTGTAATTATAATTAATGTATAGAGTAATTATTAATTATTTTTATTTAATACATTTTCTAATAATATCTACTGCATTGAGTATTTGTACAATTTAAAAAAATGTATATATTTAATAAGTTTGTAAGTGGTAGAATATGCAGTACGACCTCGCGTAGTTGTGTAATACGAATGAGCCTGCTCGAACGTAGAAATACGACATCTCTTAGCCTCAGTATCTCCTATCCTTTCCTAATCCCTTCCCCTTCTTAAAAACCCATCCATTCTAAAAAAGCCGGCAACTAACCTGCAGTTCGCGTGGTCTTGCGAGTACTCATGGGCTATAGTCACTTACCATCACTTGGTACTAGGCCATTAGTTGGTTTGCCCTCTTTAATCCCTAAAATCTTTAACCATGTTGCTGGTAAACATTGATCGGATAGAACTAAAAGCATTCCTACATTGTTTATCCATCTGTAGTACCTACGTACCTCTGTGTATGCATATTTGCCAAAACATAACAAATAAATATAGAATGCCAACCTATGGCACTAGAAAATGAAAGGATTACCAGAACCTTAGTAAATAACCACGTGTACCTACTATATATACAACAAATAAAGTCACATATTGATACCAAATATGTTAAAAATTTAATCCTCCTGTTAGATGTTTTATTTATTTTACTTCAAAAATAAATACACTCAACAAACAATTGTATAATTGTGATCGTCGCTCTTGGGGAATACCTTTGAAATGTTTTATTCATGTCTGAATGGGCTAGCTATTATTTAGGTAAGAAACACAATGTTTTTTTAATTATATTTAGTAAAAATGTAGTAATATTCATACAAAATTAATAGTAGTAGAAAATTAATAGTAATAGAAGTAATAACTATTGTTAAATTTATTGTAAATAGCAAATATTACCATAGAATAATTAAATTCTATAATACTACTAATTCCGTTTTCGCTACTAGATATATTAGACAATAAGTAAACTTCCTGATATATTTATATTAACATTTTTTAATATAAGAACGTCGTCGGCCTAGTATTTTACCATACCAGCTTACGACTTACACCCAAAAGGTCAATTCCGCAGACACAAACTTCGTGCATAAATTTATATTCCTGACAATCTTCAGCGAAGGAAGCAAGCGATCATAAAAATAATCAAATCTGAGAGACATTACCGGCTGCCACGTTCGATGCTAATAAACCTAGCGGAATATACCTCTAACTATATCAAGTATTTTATTCAACATGAAGAAAGAAGATGAAGTCAAATATAAAATATATAACATTGAAAGACCACGAAATTGATATAAATGAAACTATAACCCTAATAATTAAATGGCTTGACATGAATAATTTGACAATAAATGTAAATAAAACTAATTATATTAATTTTAATAAATTGAAAAATGAAATCTGTCATCTTAATGTTAACTACAGAAATATACAAATTGAATCAGTTAATGAAACAAAATTTTTGGGTATAATGATAGATCAACAACTTAATTGGACAAAACAAATCGAAAATATTAGTAACAAAATTAATAAGTTTATATATGCAATGAAGCGTGTTAAAAACATAACGAACAGAAAGACTGCACTTACTGCATATCATGCATACGTGGAATCTGTACTGCGTTATGGACTATTAATATGGGGAAATGGTACAAATATTAATAGGGCATTCATTGCTCAAAATAAGTGTATTAGAGCATTGTGTGGTCTTGCACCGTACGAGTCATGTCGAACACGTTTCAGAGAACTTGGACTACTGACGCTTCCATCGCTATATATATGAAGCTGTTTTTGTAAAACAAAATTTAAATTCATTTACGAAAGCTCAGGACATTTATCCAAGAAATACCAGAAATCCTAATAGATTGGTACTTGCTAAAACCCATACAATGACACAGTACACAAAAAACTGTGAAAATATGTGTATAAGAATTTATAATTGCATTCCTGAGACATTAAAGATGAATAAGAAAATATTATTTAAGAAGACATTACGAGAATGGTTAAAAAATAAGGAATTTTACAGTTTAAACAATTTTTTTGACAATGTATAAATACCGACTAGAGAGATCCTATTTAACTATTATTATAATTATTATTATTATTTCTCTCTGTATAGTTAATTATGTATAATTTTAAACAATACTATTTTGCATGCCATTACTATGGCAAAACACATGATACTAAGTTTTAATTACAATCTTTTATACTGTGTTTTTAAGACATATATATATATATATTTATTATATCTCCCTTTTTACGGGGGTAATATAGTCAAACACGCGGGCCTTAGCCAAGCATGGATGAGTTATGTGATGAAGATAGAATTATTATTATTATTATTATAATAATTGCTAATGCCTCTGACTAATCCATCCGAGATAATAGTCGTAACGGTATGTTTAATATGTTATTTCAATGGAGCGTCGAGTACCTAAATATATCCACTATATAAACTAGGATAGACACCTAGTTTTTGCATGATATCTCTAACATTGTTCAGCATATGTTGGTAGAAGATTGATCGTGGCCATTGATTAAGTGATATTTAAATATATATTTAGAATATAACGCATATAATTGGTAAAATAGAGTGTCAAACAGATCTCAGATTTAGGGAAAAATTTTGAGGGTAAATCATCCATACTAATATGTATTCTGTTATATAAGTTTAATAGAGCTAAGATATATTTACAACTAGCTGTACTCGCGACTTCGTCCGCCTGGAATTTAACTTTGTTTCCAAAATAAAAGTAGCCTAAGTTACTCCTCATTACATCAGCTACCTGCCAATAAAAGTCTCGTCAAAATCCGTCCAGCCATTTTAGAGATTCGCCGGAACAAACAGACAGACAAAAATTATAAAAAATGTTATTTCGGTGTATGTACCTACCGTATTTACATTCATATGCATGTAGTAAAAAACGTTGTTTCAATATTACAAACAGACACTCCAATTTTATTTATATGTATAGATAAGTATCAATTAATTCTATTTTAATATCCTATATATTACTATCCTATGCTATACATACGAGTAGGTATATACTACCTCCACTACTACACACTACTACTACCTCCATAATACTTGTCAATGTTACAACAAGTTATTAAATTTCATAATACCTGAAAGTTCCATTGTGATGGAGTACTTCCCGGATTAATTCCATTTAATTGAACGCCTGCATAAAGACAACATCTGAAAAAATATTACTTTTTTATAAGTATTATACGATCAATTTAATTGTTGAAAAAGGAATAAATCACAACTGTGGAAATTAAAACATTCAGTTTATATAGTCAAGTAATTTCTTGATAAATATCTAGATTGCTGAAATAAAACTAACCTGTTAATGATATATGTATAATATATAACAAGAAAATTGTTGCAGAGTTATTCATTAAATAGTTTTTGTTAATTTAATAAACATCTTATTTACGAAATAAACAACAGGCGAATCTGATTACATCAAATTCAAATTGAAAAATCATTTATTCATACAAGACATTTTAGCCGCTTATGAACGTAAATTTTTTTATATTATAATTTTTTCCCTACCATCCAGTTCATCCCAATAAGGTATAATAGAACATGCTCTAATTACCTGTAAAAAGCCTCCATTAAGTCTCTGGCTACGATTTTATTAGCCCCTATAGCACAATAGTATGGACCAGGCGGTGCGGGGAACCCACCAGGTGGCCACCCAAGTGGTCGGCCGTCAGTAGTGGTAAGAAAAAACTCTTGATTGAAACCAAACCACGGCTCTTCTACTTCAGCTTTTTCACACAACATGACACAATTCTTACGATAATTCGTGGCTGTAAAAGGGTAAGCAATTTATCAACCAACTATAAAAAGAAGCAGGTGGGTAGTTATAATATATAATGATGTCTTGATTTATATATTTTTTTTCTTCTTGTAATCGAGAAATTATTTTATTTTATTATGAGACAAATTTATTATATTGTAAGAATATATGTTTTATACTAAAACATAAATTTACTATATATAGTATAACCTCGAAGTATATAAACTGTATGTAATGAGAAATTCTTAATAAAATCCTAGTATAGCTTATTTGATAAATGAAAATAAATTGGGTAAATTTAAATATTGTATACAGTTAAGTATGTAGGTGGGAATTATTTTAGTTCAAACTCGAAACTATACGATACCGTTAGGTATTTCATATAGGTAACATTATGTGAGTGCATTAGAGTAGAAATACTATTTCATTTTGCGATACAATACTAAGTGAAGATATAATTATTCACCACCTAAGTTGATATAGACACCCACACAACAACGTCATACTTATAATAAATCGTTTTATTATATTAGAATGAGAAATAATTTAATTTGCACGTGAGAAACTTGTTACCAAAATTATTTCACAGACAGATTTATTTACCTATAGAAAACACCCTAAGATAATAACAGTAAATTAACTTTCAGTATAAGGAGGCGTTCATATTCTAATATTGAGTCAAATTACAAAGATGGCAAAAGAAAAGCAAAAAGAATTGACTAAGAGATCGCATAATATTTACATATAGACTTTGTAAAAAGTCATCTGTGAGTACCCCGCTCTCTCCTATTTCAGCGGCCCAGTATCTTTGTACGTTGTGTTTCGGTTTCAGGGTGAGATAAGGCAGTGAAATTACTGAATATGGAAGAAGAATACCTTAGTGCTTTATCACAATCGTCACATGATAACGTGATGTCCATAGTGCCGTTCATGTATATTGGTGACGCACCTACTTTCCATCAGGATGGCCGTCAACTTATTTCCCATTCCAATTACATAAAAATATGACAATTGCATATGTCATATGTTATCCTATCTGTTGAAAATACATTCACAAACATAATTCTTACTTGTAGGTTGGTAGTTGTGTTGGTAGGTGTCAGCCAAAACTAGAATATGGTTTCCACGTCGGAATGGATCGTGGTAAATCACTTGAGGGAAGATAAACGTGTCTGAGTTCTCTGGATTGGACTGAGACGTGTTGCTACCATCAAAGTACCAAATGGGCAGATCTAAAATAAACGAACACAAAATACCTATTAATCGGCAGTCGTAAAATATCTTTGTGAGCAGTAGTCGAAATGTTTTATGGGTATTGATCTTGATTCGTTTAATGTAGATAATTAAATTCCTAGTATCCTGATCACATTAACATTCTATTCGATTTAACATTTTAAAATGCCATCGCTACGCTAATCATTTAAAGGTCTAAATAATTAAAAAACAAAGGAATTTAAAAAAGATAAGATATATTTTTTATCCTAAATGAAACATTAAAATATCGCTGGATATCGGTGGACATTTTTTTGATAATGTTAATGGAAACCGCGATTTGGAATAATATTACATGAAGAAAATAATTGTTCAACGATATCTGCTATCGAGCAGTGTTATAAGGGCATTAAAATTGGTATCTTGGGATATTGAAATTTAATGAGCACTCAAGAGTTACGACTCTACAATATAGTACTAAGTACAAGCATTATGGGTTAGAATATTAAATTACAGGATGAGTAACGAACCAACGCTCTTTATAGTTAGCTAATGGTGAAGTATATGTCAGGAAGAATTGTGCAGAATTCCTAAAAAATTCTATTATTAGAACTGATAGACCTAGATGAATTAATAAATACAAGAATAAAACTGAATTTGCACTAGCAAATTATACAGAATTTATATTATCGTAAAGATATAACACATCGAACAAAGGTGTTGAAGCACCATGTGGTTATGAATACACATGTAACACTCAACAGTTACCAATTTTGAGTCAGAATACATAGTAATTTTAAAATCATATATAAATTTCCAAAAGTAAACTGACTGTAGAAATTATAAACCATGTTGACGAGTTCATGTAGAAGTTCTTCTTCTGTAGCAGTTAGTTGTCCATATATGTAACATTATTCAAATTATTATATTTTTTACTTGAAATTGAAGTTTACCTTTATGGGATTTAGGTATAAAATCGAATGTGCGATCCTTGGAGCGTAGATGGATACCGCTTCCATCTACCCACACATAGCTTGCAAGCACCGCTTCACATGGTACTTCTAAATCTTCATATTTGCGCATGGAAGCCTTGTTCAAAGCAACCGGAGTGGAATTCATTGTTATGCCTGTAACATTTTAATAAAATATAAGTAGCGTAAAGATAATTTTGATGGCTAGGTTTATAGTTAAATATTTATATTTTTATATGTCTGATCATATATAAAATTAGGTCATAATCATATACATTATTAATAAGCCACTAATATCTTAAGTTTTTATATTACGACAACAAAATTTATTACCACAAAGTAGTTTTACTATTTTATTTACATTTTCTTATACACACGACGCTATTTTCACCTGTTTGTTAATTGACTTGTATAATTGATTAAACTACTGAAGTGACGAAAATGTAGCAGAGGAATAAACTTTAATTCTTTTCCTAATTTTAGTATTTTAAAATTAGAATATAGAATACTACTTCTTAGTTTGTATTAAAACTGATAACCTCTGAGCAAAATTAAATATTTAAACCAATAATATAAACATACTCACATGAATGTTATCTAATATATAATATAATATGCTTATTATATAAAAAGAACGAATATAAACAAAATTTATTGAAACAAAATACATAACACTGTAGATTTCTTTTGAAATAAACAAAACTATACATTATAACAGTTAAAAAATAATTCTAACCCGCTTACCTTCTTTTGTATGATGTATTGATTGTATTAAATCACTTTTAATTTACAAAAACGTTATCCAGGCCATGTTTACTAATAACAGTGATTTTTAAATTCAAAATGTCAGAATGATCTTTTTTATTTTTTTATTAGAAAATAACAAAAAAGTTCCCAATTATTCGATAAAACAGAATAATACTAATTATTAGTTCGTATTAATTCTACAAATGCAATAAAAAATATTTTTAATTATTTTTACGGTTATTTTGAAAAACAAAAATCCATTTTAAATATAAGTTTAAAGTTGTAATTGTACCTATACGACATTCCTTCAGGACAGTTATCACCATATCTGAACTCTCGACCTCTTGAATTCGATTCATGTTATTTAGTCTTATATTTTAACTTATTAGCTTTCAAAATATCTATGATCATATTATTTTACAGAAGATTTGGCTGTAGGGTTTTGTACCCTTGCCTATTCACTTGTTGATAAATTATTCTACTACTACTCTCTGGTTTCTATCAAGAACTTCAAACTTTAGGAGAAGACTCATTTATTGACGTAATAAATAAATTACTGTTTCTTTTCTGATTAAATTCCTATCAGATAACAAATTTGGATGTATACTTATAAAAATGCCACTCTTAGAGCTTAAGGTTATAATATTTTCTTTGCTAATTATACAATTTTGTGTCAACTCAATTTCAAATTCTTGTCGAGATGTAAGAACTATGGAAACAAAAAATATATTTGGTCACATTCCTAAAAGACTTAAAAGTGATAATAATATATCTAACAATGCTGATTCAATGGACAGCATAAACAAATATAATATTCCTACGGTAGCTGCTCTTAAAGAAAATAGTAAAAAAAAATGGCAAGTCGGAAGAGTTAGCAGAAAACAGTATGAAATTATTAATATGCTGTGGAGAAGAACAAAAATATTTATTGACATGGATTCTACTACTACTCTGAACAAGGTCACTAAAAATATGTTTACTAACAAAAATACCTTTAAAATAAGTAGAAGAAATCCTCTTACTTTTTCTTTTATGCGGCCTAAATCATCGACTGAGAGTTACATTGAATTTTATTACTTAGAAGATAACAATGAAAGTTTAAAATATTGGGATATCCGATTAAAAGATAAACATTTAAATGCTAGTAAATATCAAAGTAAAACATCTAGTAAACATCCGGATATTAATAAACAGCCACTCTCGCGTTATCCCTTAGTTGCAATCAATTTCAACAATCCTAATTATAAATCAACATATGCTGCTCTTCCATTTAAAATTACATTAAAGCAAGAGAAGCCACGCATTGATTATTTACCATTTCTACACATAAAACGTCTTAAAAAAATACCTACATTGAACGACGTTAATCGAAATGTATATACAAATGTTAAGCAGCATTTAAAAAAAAAAGAAGTGTCAGATGATTTTGTTATGTGTCCCTATACAACAGAAACGCCTTCAACAAATAAAAATATTCCATTTTCACAAGTAAGTAAAAATACTACAGTTCTACCTAAAACACTTTCTACAGTATACGATAAAATAAAGTTTTTTGAAATATATGACGGAAACACTCGTAGTAGAAATTTAACTTATAACTATGACGAAATAAATGAAATAGATAATGTAGCAAAAGATTATATACTGAATAACAATAACAAAGTATTACTTGAACATGTTGATCATGGCATTGGTCATCACAGTGATTCTCATGTAAATAGATATGTTAAAAAACATATTACTGAAAATACATTTAAAAACTTGATGGAAACTCCAATGCATACTAGTAGCAGTGCTCAGACCAAACCTACTAGGCTTACTAAAACAATGGAAAAGCGAAAAGTTGAGTCATTAAAATGGTCTAAAGTTCAACAAAATAATGAGCATAAATTATGTAATAAAAGCCAGATTGCAAAATGTCATGCAAATGTATTCTTCAACTTTAGTAAACGTGCTTTATGGTCAGAACATCCCTTTGCAGCTGTTTATATTTATGAGCCATCAAAAGTAAGTCTTACATTTATATTACAGATTTTTTAAATTAACTTTTACACTTTTATATTTTGTGATTTTTATTTCATATCTATCACAATAGTCAGTTTCATAAATAAAAACATCATGGTATTTTAAGTTTTCGCGCCACCGTTGCAAGCTACCACCGCTAAACTGCTAAAGTACTGAGTTAAGAAATAACGAATATACTTCTGCCTTAAAATCTCTCTATATTAAAATTTGAAACATACATACATATATACAAGATATAATTTAATTTTTTGCTCAATGCACTACTATTAGTAATATAGACATTATATTAAGCAATAGGAAAATAATATTGTTTTGCATTTACAGATACATTGTGATGCAGCTGCAATAAGCCCACATTGGTTAGTAGCAGCTGCATCGTGTTTGTCTCGTCATCATACTATGGAACCTACAACTGCAAGTCGCTCGGCTTTTGTTACATATTGTGGGGACAACTGGAGACAGCCTGTACGTATAGCTTATGTCAAGTACACTGTGGTACATCCGCGCTACCATCACAAAGACGAGCTGAGACGGAACAATTACAATATCGGTAATATACTTATTATCATATATTATACTAAGTCTGATGTAATTAAAAATAACATTGAATTAAAGAAATATAATTAAATATTATGAGGACAGCAGCCAATTAATTTCGACTTTACTGTCTACCTCATAGACCGGGCTTAAACGTATTTTATTAACATAATATTGTTGTAAGTTACTGATATATTTTTAGCTTTTATTTTAATTCAATAGCTATAAAGAATTCTAACTTGACGAGTGTCGTGAGAAAGTCAAAATTCAATTTACCTTAATATTACTTTTTCCCATCATACAGAAAGAAAGAGGTCTTTGAAGTCGACATTGTCGTTTCAATCTTTTACTGTTTACGATATCAAAAAACAATGTTCAATACAATTGCCCTTTGTAACGTACATATTATTATGTTTTTTTTAAGAAATCACATTTAATGTTTCTCTAAATAAATATAAGAATATATGTATACTGTAACAGTATTCCCCGTATGGAGAGGCTAGGATGTTGTATTGTCCTTTAATTCACAATATATTATCTTTTAAAAGAAAGAAAGTCATATGAGTTTTTTTGACAGTTTTTCGCAATTAAATTTGTATACTTAACTGGATAGTACGGAAAGATATTTTTTTCTGAAAACTTGGTTTTTATAAGCGGCTAAAATTCTTACATGAATAAATGATGTATTATTTGATTTGATTCCTAGTAACTACTATAAATAAAATATTATTACATCCAGTTCTTTAAGTGAAATCTAATTCAATCATTTTCAAACATTCACATTTTAATAATACTAATAAGATTTTTAAAATTCCTTATTCGCTGCACATACCTAACCTGTTAGTGACAAAGAGCATTTGAAGTGAAAAGCATTTTTGTAAGGGCTTGACATCCTATCTCCCTATCTGGTAAGAATATTTAGAGCCAGCTTTGCCTGGGGTTTTATACCAGAACCATTAACGAAGGTCAAAGTTACCTACGTACCGAAAACCGGTCGAAGAGACTACTCGCAGCCAAAGTCTCACAGACCTATAAGCCTAACCTCTTTCATAATAAAAACCATGGAAAAGGTTCTGGACCAACACATTAGAGCTACAATCCTCGAAAATGCTCCCCTGCACAGGAATCAACATGCCTACCGCAAGGGACATTCCACAGAGACCGCCTTGCTCGAACTCACCGACAAGGTCGAGAAGGCCTTTGAGGACAAACAAATAGCTCTATGTGCATTTCTCGATATTGAGGGTGCTTTTGATAACACGCCCATAGAGACCATCTCACAGGGACTCATCCGCAAGAAAGTGGATGAAACCACCACTCAATGGATCAAAGCAATGCTCTCAAATCGAACCATTAAAACTACTCTTCACAATAGTACGTTAGAAATCCGACCTACCAAAGGATGCCCTCAAGGAGGCGTTTTATCGCCACTGCTGTGGCTACTAACGGTAGACCAGCTCTTAGATGTTATGACCAAAAACCAATTTGAGGTACAAGGCTACGCAGACGATTTAGTAGTCATGGTCAGAGGGTTCTGTGCAACAACAATATCAGACCGCATCCAAAGAGCACTAGACATCATAGTTAAATGGTGTAAGGAAAATGAATTATCAGTAAATCCTGATAAAACAGTAATTGTTCCGTTTACAAAAAGGAAGAAACTTGACAAACTTGTCATGCCTAAAGTAAATGGAAGAATATTAGAGTGCTCCAAAGAAGTCAAGTACCTGGGCGTAACCTTCGACCAAAAACTGACATGGAACACACACATAGACAACATAACTCAAAAGGCGAAAACATCCCTAGGTATAAGCCGACGGGTAGCGGGGCCCAGATGGGGAATCAACCCCAAAATTGCCCTATGGCTTTACACAGCAGTGGTGAGACCGCTTACCACCTATGCCTGCGCTATCTGGTGGAGGAAAACCCTCCAATCCACAGCCGCCACCAAGCTAAACAGCCTACAGAGAATTGCTTGTCTGATTATTACAGGAGCCATGAGCACCACGCCGGGAGCAGCTCTAGACGCATTATTGGACTTGACGCCCCTTCCTTTATTCATACAGGAAAAGGCGAAAGCCAATATGCTCAGAATAAGTTCCCAAAGGAGGATATCTTGGCATTCCCTGGCCATAAAAACTATACAAGACTCGATTATGAGTGATCCTATTCTGGGAATGCCTGAAGACAACATGGCACCAGAGTGTAACTTTGTACAATATTACAAAATCGAAATATCTGGAAGAGACGAATGGCAAAATAACCATACACCGTCTCACTCAGAGCATGACCTAGTCTGGTTTACAGACGGGTCCAAAATAGGAGATGATGTAGGATGTGGAATATGTGGTGTAAAACCCAAAATCTGCAACTATATAGGCTTAGGAAAATACGCCTCAATCTTTCAGGCAGAGACTTACGCCTTAATTAGATGTCTGGAAGTAATCCTAAGCCTCAACTACATCAATCAGAACATATACATTTATTCGGACAGTCAAGCTGCTCTACTAGCACTTAACTCGTACGAAATCCGTTCTAAACTTATTAGAAACTGTATCCGGCTACTAAATGAAGTAGGAAGCAGAAATAATATTATTCTGAGATGGGTCCCCGGGCATTCAAATATTGAAGGCAATGAGAATGCCGACCATCTGGCAAAGTTAGGGGCAAAAACCGTCCAACTGGGCCCCGAACCCTTCTGTGGTGTGCCTCGTTGCCTAAAACTGGGACATCTCAAATTAATAACCAAACGAGAAGCACTGAATCACTGGCAAGAAATGCCAGGATTAATACATTCAAAAGACCTTATATCGGGCTTCTCGACCAAATACTCCAATCGATTACTGCTATTGAGTAAAAACAACATATGCATGATGACTAGGGCCCTCACAGGACACTGCAAATTGAACAAGCATATGGCTAAGCTAGGCCTATGTACGACTAGTATCTGCAGATTCTGCCAAACTGAAGAGGAAACGCCGCTTCACATCCTATGTGGTTGTAGCCCACTCATGCATAAACGAAATATCTCCTTTGGAAAGTTTACACTCTTTCCCGAGGAGATAAAAACGATCGCTCCTAAGAATATCCTTCAATTCTTGTCCCTGACGGGTCTAGGTAGCGAACTCTGAAAAGGGCGAGCACAATAGATCTTTGTAGGTCGCAGTGCTACAGGTGCTACACATCTGACAATAGCCCAAACAACCCAATAAAAAAAAAAAAAAAAGGACGCTTTTCAGAAATGGTTTTTCAATTTTAAAGTGCCTTATTGTACCTCATTGTGGGTATATTTCAACGAATGTAAAATTATAATACTAAACTTAATAGCGATAGATCTGTAGACTTAAATCTTTATATTACATAACAGATTTTAATGCATTTTCAGCAATAGATACGAGTGATTCAAGAAGAAGGTTTATATTATCTGATTAAACTAACAATGAGAGTATAGCGATTTCTATGTTGGCTATCACATGCCTCTTATTTGTTATACTGTAATTATTTATATAAAAAAAACGATATATTTAAAAGAAGCAACACACAAGTTTCTTGCTCATTTTTCTTGTGATGAATCTGCATTCCGAATGAGTGGTAGAATCAAAATATGACTAGTGCTTGTAATGAGTTTATTAGAATACTGATTATTTATATTTCTGTTTATATTATATTTCTATGTATAATTCATGTCCATTAATTTTGTTGTAAAAAGCCTAGAAATTCAAACATTCGTAGTGCATCTGTGCGAAAGGGGAACGGATCGCTAGTAGAATTATATATAATAAGAAAAACATTAATGTTTCATATTGTTTATGGTCTGTGTTGTGTATACCAATATACCTTATATAGGTATGGTTAGATTTTTGCAAAAACAGTAGTGGAGTTCTTACTTACATATTAATCTGTATACGTATACGATAGAAATATTGATAAATCAACTATTTTCTTTGCCTTCTATACCAAAGTATCGATAAAGTTGCATTAAATAGGTGGTACTAAGTAGTACAAATAAGTAGTACTAGAAACTATTTATGTATTTTTTGCTAAGTTTACATCGCGTCATTTTGCTCTCGTGCTATCCTGTATAAAATACTTATGTATTAAAAATATTCTTTATTAATATGCTAGCTACTCGCCCCGGCTTCGCCCGGATGAACATGTATTATATATATAAAACTTTCTCTAGAATTACTCTATCCATTAAAAGAACCGCTTCAAAATCCGATGCGTAGTTTTAAAGATTTAAGCATACATAGGGACAGACAGCGACAGCGACTTTATTTTATACTGTGTAATCTAATAATGATTTATTTCCTGCTTCAATTTCATCAGGTGTCATCAAAGTAGTCAGTCGAATGTCATCTTCTTGTTCTCGATGGTCACCGATACCTTTGATGTCACATCAATACACCACAGATCAGGATGGTACAATGGCTTATGCAGTTGGATGGGGATTAGACAGGTAATATATATACATTTTACATGCGCGTGGACTTTTGTACTGTAGCGTATTGTGTGTACTGAACCGATTTTGATGATTTTATTTTTAATTTTAATCTGGTACTTCTCATGTAGTTCCGTAAATGTCATCAAGATCTGACTAGTAGTTTCTGAATAATGTTTATCAATGCGACTCAAACCGTTCTTTTATATGGCCTGAATACTGAATAAAACTTATTCGAAATTTTGTCCTACTACAAGTCACATCATATAAGTTTGAAATATGTATTACTCGAATTACATACCTATATATTAAAGATAAGATTTTTGGGATAAAGTTACAATAGTTCAGTCTATTAGCTATAAGTTTATATTAACAAACAAGTATATATATTTTACAAATACATATAATTCCTTTCTAATGTTAGGTTTAATTATACGTTACGTATAAATATAAATAACTCTAATAATAAAAATAACGGTAGTGGTAAGTAAGTACAATTAAACCTAATTAGCAATTAGCAATCAATCCATTCAAGTCTATTAAATAATTATTTCCATTAATCACTTCATCACTTTATATATTATGTCCATTGTAGCTATAAACTGGTGAGTTGCCCAAATAACGTCATGTATTGAATCATAGAAGGCTCCACATACATTATTGATCTGTGTATAGTGCAATAAACGATGAAATATTGTTATGTTGGTACAGTTCGCAGAGAAATTTATACACATCGGTACGGATTTCTTACAATAAATTGAAGTCGATATACACCGAAATGTGAGCATTTTTAGAAATGCTAGAAGTAAATACTTTCTGTGTTATAAAGGAATGTAAGCTATGTGTATGTACTCGTACATAAATTCATCTTATTGTACACAATATTGCGATAATGTCCATAGTATATATGTTCTCAATCTATGTATACATGAAAACCATTACAACAATTTTGAATCATATTTCTGAACATAAACTTAAAACATATGTAAAAGGATGTTGCCACAAAGAAAGTAACAGATATTTCTTTACTATATAAAAGATATAGAAAGATAATAAATAACGTAAAATACAATAGATATTATTAGGTATTTCATTACTTGGAAGGCTTACCTTACCCACTCCTCGGGCATAAGAGAATAGCTAACACTGACATTTATTATATAATGTCGTTTGTGTGATGTGACTGTTGCATGGACCACGGAAACCACGGAATGTAAAGATATTGTGTTAGGAAAAGAAATATCATGACCTACTGTATATGTTAATTTTTGACCCTAAAATAAGCAGTAATAAATAAACAACTGCAAGTAAACGACATACAAAAAAGTTTTAATGATTGTTAACAATAAATGTAGTCACAACTTTTTTTAGCTCAGAATGAGAATAAATACCTTTTGTAACATTATCACTTTAGTAATACTTGGCGTGTATGCTAGTTTGCTTTGAAACACCTACAAACACGTGTTCATTAATCACTTTTTGAGTATGTCTATTGCATGGGCTTGGCGCATACAAAGTAGATTATTGATCCGTTTTCAGTACTATAAAAAAAGTAAAATATTGATACGTTAGTAGAGTGTGCAAAAAAGCTTTGACAAATTGGTACTAATACTTAATAAATATGTACATACAATACAATCACAAGTTAAAGATTAAATATGAATATTGCACAGTATAATATAATAATTATAATTAAATAATTTTCACAAATATACATATTGGGAAATATTCAGAAAGGGAAAATATATATATAAATGTATATTCGGTTTATAATTGGCAAAAAAATCGCGTGACCTAGGTACATTCAAAAAATATATTTGTAGCCGAACTGAGCAAAACTTATTTAATATTAATTTTATTTAACAGATACGATACAAGGCATACACCTACGGTACTCCCGAAATGGCCATTGATGATGTACCAAGGATTGATTTATTCGGATTCTTGCCCTGGAAGTAATACATACATGTAAGTTATTACAATACCCATTACAAAGCGGATGGAACCTTTAAAAGCTTTTTGTGCTTATACAATTTTAATTATTACGTTCATTAGTAAGTAATGAACCTGCAAAGTTCATAATAGACAAACTTATAATTTAAGACTTTTTATTATTATTCTAAACATTACGTTCATGTTTACACGTTGTAAAGCCTTATGAAAATGAGAATGAAAAACCTCTGTCCGTCCGTTTTAATGAATTTTAATGAAATTTGGTGCACAGATAGTCTAGACTATGAGAAAGAGAAAGTGGAGATGAAAGGTTATAGGGAAGTATCGTCTTTTTTGAAGACAATAACAATTATTATGCTTATTTATACTTACGTGTCTTATTTGTAAAATAATTAAAAACGCTATTAAAGGTTACTATTCCACGAAGACGAAGTCGCGGGCACAGTTAGTCTATTATAACCAAATATATTATTTAGATCACGAGCAGTTACTTTTTAAAGAAATAAAATCGTTCCCAATCCTGAACGCAAAAATCAAATTCTCTTAATATTGACTTAACTTAATTAACTTTCTTACTCTCCTATTTTTTTACAATTAAATGAGCCAATTATACGGACGTGCCTGAATCTAAAAAATGCACTAATCCGTTTCTTTTCTAACAGAAAGTCAAAAAGAAAGCATGGAATAGAAGGAGTTAAGAACTTATATTGTTTATCGTTGCCACCATATTTAGGGGAAGAATATGATCCTGTACATGGCAGTCTACTTTTGTTAGGAGGAAAGCTAATAGCTTTATATTTACAGGTATTTTACTGTATGTCTATTTAAGATATGACGCTAGAACTCTTATAGGCAAAAGGAACGGAGCCTATTGCTCCGTTCTGGTACACTTCTATACTTACACTTAATTTTAGCATGACCAGTTGTTTCGATGCATAGTATATATAGTATCCAGTTGTTTTTCTCATTAAAGAAATCTTGTTTTGTTATAAGCACGAGTAAGATGTAATGATTTGTTTTCAGTTAATTATCATAGAAATACAAGTAAAAAAATATACTTATGACTTTGATGTGTTGAACTCCTATAGTTGGTTATTATAAAAAAAAAATATTAGTATGTATTTTATGAAAAGATTCATAAAATTTTTAATTTCATAACTTATAGCATCAAGAATGGTGAGATGTAACAAAACGTACAACACAAGTGTAGCTATTTTTCTATGAATCTTCAGTTTAGTTAAGAAAATGTTTTTTGTTGATATAATTAAGAAAGTTATGTCTTATTATAGTTTAATCATAAAATGATAACGAAGACATTTGAAGAATTCTTAATGAGATGGTGAATTAAAATAACTTTCTTTAGTTACTGGAGGTAATTAATTTGATTTTGACCACAGTTTAGTTACCTACTGTGTTTTATCTTGAATTTTTTATTACTCTCAGTTTCAAAATGAATTAGATTCGTTATTGATTTTCTTGGGCAGGTAGATTCGTTTGCTGGACACGTCAGCAATTACTTTAAATGGAATTCTCGGGCATCCGCTTTCGTGTTCGCAATGTCTTGAAGAAATATTTAGGCTGTTGAATAAACGATTGCCGCAGATTACATATGTTTAGGTTCTTCTATACAAAGTGTATTTAAACCAACACCTTGATTTATTACATCTATTTGGTATAAGGTATTTTTTGTGATTGTTAACAAAATTGTACGCTTGCGCTAACGGAATATTTTACTTCATCTTGGTATCATTATCCTCACTGATGTTCCGATAGTAAAGGATGATCAAATAGTAATGAAGTCAATTAACAATAATATCTCAGGACAATTCACACAGTGCCACCTAGTTCCAAGTTAAGTAGAGCTTGTGTTATGGTTACCAGACAACTGATATAAATACATAGGTACATTTTTTATAAATACTTATCGACCATTTGAAGTAAGACAATCAATATCGCGGGTCAGTTAGCCTAACGTTTGGATTTCATGAGAATTATTTCCTGGATCAAGAACGTGGAGGTCGACCCGATAGGGTTAAATACTATTAGAGACCACTAGTCTCCATTTCATATGCACAAAAAAATAAAAATAAAAGGGCAACGTCTCGTATAAATATATTGTTGCATAGTTATAATTAATTTTTTTTAATTATTACTTAAAATATTATAACATTATTACAGTTGCAACTGTTCCTTATGGAATCTAAACAGAAATAACGTAACAGCAAACTTGACAATATCTTAGCTTTTTTATTTGAGAATATTATTCTTACCTGATGCTCAATTAATTAAATAATGAAGAAATGGTTTATACAAATTTTATGATAATGCTACAAAATTAAATTAAGACTGTAATCACAAATATTCTGCCTACAAATAATTAAATTGTGCGAGAATTTACCACAGAAAGCGATGTGTTAAACCACTACGCTACCGAGGCCGTCAGTTATGAGTTATATCAGTATTGATTACATGTCATTCAGGAGGAGCGCCGACCCTGGGGCGAACAGTCAGCGATATACACCGCCATCTGGAGTCTATTACCATGGATCCTGGATGTGGCTAGAGAACCAGAAGATATTGACGTATTTACGGCAGGCATTTAGTATTCTTACCTTATTAATTAGGCACTTTTTATACTACATTATTATGATATTAGGTGTATCAATAGATACATACTTACTTAGGTATGTATAAAAATTATAGGTGAATTAAAAATACTAAATTGTTATTGTTAGATAAATTCTTGTCTTTTGTAATATCTAATATTTATTCATACTGCATTAAATTGCTAATGTTAAATATTTTTTCTTAGATATATACAATTGTAATCAAAGTTGAACTATTTAATAGGTTTAATTAGGATAAAGTTTTATCCTAATTAATAGTTTAATCAAATTACCTGCGTTTAATCACATCATTTAATCAAAGTAACTTCGTTAAATTAAAAAGGTAGTGTTTCTGGATATTTGTCTATTTCTTTTAATTGTATGTATATTTTTGTGATCAATGTGCATTATTTTATATTGTTTTTTTAAGATAAACCATTTGATAAATAGTCTATTTTTTCTATGGGTTGTTTTTTTTATAACACAATTTAAAAAATTTAGTTTTGTGTTCAAGTAAATATAAAACGACTTATTTCTTAACAATTGAATAGACTTGATGATATTTCTGACTCGCTATTACGATCACTCTATCTTCAAGTTAAATTTCATTCAGCTACAGCGCCAGTCAGATATACACACTTTCGCATTTATATATTTATTGCATTTATAATACTAGTATAGATTCTAGTGCAGATAATTGCCCCTAAAGTGATCACCATTAATATTACTTTTTATATGAAATCTTGTAGATAAATCCTAACCTGACTTAATACCTCCAACACTAAACTAGGAATGATGGGGGGGAAAGGGGATTGTTAGTAATGTGGACTGATGATCTCTAGCAATGTACCATGTCAGGTTGACCTCCACGCGGTTCCATCTGGAAACCATCGTGATAAATTACTGATGAATTTGTCACGATGGGCTAACTGGCCTGACCTCATGCTCATCTATCATCCTCCACTGGTGCTCCGCCAGCGTAAACCATTAGCGCAGGCGGGTACAAATCCATTATCATCAATTAAAAAAAAAAATTATTCAAAATTAATTTCAGGTAACTGTCCTAGACTTAGAACCTTAGGGTTGATTGAAGTGAACTTAATTTGGAAGAAACATTATTATATCATTTAGGAAGATATCTGATCGATATTCAAACTACAAGACAGACAATAAAAACATTTGCGAAAATCACAAGTAAATGTAAATTGTATCCTCAACGTAAATAATGTACAAAGATTATTTACGCTTTGTAGATATACGCGTAGATATTTTGAATAATGTATATCACAAGATCTTTTTAAAAAGTAATAAGTCTGTAAATAACAATAAGACAGTAAAAATATTTGTATAGGTAGTTATTACATATTTGATAGGTATATCATATGACGTGTGCTGATTTTGCATAACTACATATGTACACAATATAATATGCCTATCTGTGAAGTCAAGAATGAAAAGCTATGACATTATTTGAATAATTTATTGAGTAACTAAAACATGATACAAAAGACGTATTTAAAGTCAGAAGTAAAAGTATTCTCTTCAAAAATATTCTTATATATATATATATATATAGTATGTATATAAGGTATATAATAATATATCTTACAAATATACTACATATATATAAAATACCATATACCGATACCTTCGCCTAGCTATTTCTAAAAAGCGGCCTATTTTTTGTATATCAATTTCGTATACTCGTAGCTTCAGAATATTTTCTCCCGTGAATGCACAGAAAACTCACCTAAACTATAAACTTCTTCCTGAAAATATACATATCGGAAATCCAAAAATTCCCATGGGTAATAAAAAGTTTTATGTTTTGAAAACATTATTGGATTACGCTGACAAAATGAGATCCCATGGATCTCTCAAGGGGTGCTACGTTTGGTTCCTAAATACATATAGATATTTATCGCTCCGACAACGTACAAACAAATTAAATCCCAACACGTTTAATAGTAATATGGTTCCAAAATATAGATATATATTATGCATATATTATTAATACTTCTGTTATTAACTAGAACTGATGCGATAGAGCATACGCTCTATACTTAAGATCATCGTTAGAGACATTCGTGGATTCTCTTTTAACATGGACATGGAATGGCAAACATGCTGACAGCTCAACCTATTGTATGATGTTGGTACAGACAAATGAAATCCTTATCATTCCGGAGAACAAATACAAATATCGATACAGCATTTTATCTTTATCATCAGTAAAGGATTAGCTAAATACCAACAAACTGTTGGTTAAATTCTTACTTTAACCAAAATCTCTTTCGATGTGAGGGTATTCACAAATTTTCATACAACATATCACAAATGCGAATGAAGATTTATCTTTAGAATAAACATAGTGTTGTTATAACAGCGTCTATTCCGAACTATTTGTAAACTTGCCACCTTTAATAAGATTTCTACCAAAGTTCCAAAACTTATGAAGAAGAAAAAAATAGAGTAGCCATAATTTTAGGAGAAATAAAATTTTTTGTATGTATTAAAAAAAATTGTAATATTAAAAAATATATCTGCTCTATATAGTTTACAAGAAATTATAGAAAATAAATTTGTAATAATGGTATAGCATGACATGGCAGTGTGCCATTTTTTGAAATTATTTTTACTGTAAATTAGATAAGTATAAAATATAAAAACTCTTCAATAATAACGTTAGTACCTAACATTAGTCTATCAGTATTGTGTAATTCTAAATTTTAGTTTAACCAATCATTATTCACATACAGTGGTGCTAAAATTATATTATACATCATTAAAATCACACGTCAAATAAAACTTTAAATTGTAAGTATATTTAGCTATTTATAGTACAGAATAAAAATAGGTCAACTTGAATCATTTTTATTCTGTACTGTAACTACCGCATAAGTTACTATAGTGACTGAATGTATTTTTACATTAGGGGGCGATGGGAGAATTGCTAATACTGAAAAAAAGTAACGTTATTCAGTTACTAAATCAATATCAAGAATAATATTGTATTAATAAACTGCTATTAATATTTTATCAAAAACAAAATCTTGTCTATTCGTAATTACCCATAGCCCTTACGGTAAAAATGGATCCGACTAATTAACTTATAAAAAAACATGCAACACTATAAATATTCAAGGCTAAAAATTACAGTGGAATTTAGAAGAATGTCTGATTTTAGATAGTTTGAAAATAGTACAAATCGAAAAAAAAATTCCAAATATGGTAAAATGGCGGCCGGGCGAGGCGAGCAAGGATTGAGTAGATGTCCGTTAATCCAAATTTACCCCGCGTCCTCAATTCGCCCTTCGTCCCTGCCCCTGTGTATATATAGAAATCTAATACGAATAATATATTTTTAACTTACATTTTACTAATAATGTATTTCTACTACTGTCAAGTAGATAGTAGTATTTAAATGCTGTTACAACTTCTTCTTTTATGTAATAAAAATAAAGCATATTATAAAGTAGAACAAATTACATTATACCTATGCAAATGACACATAAATGAAGGAAATTCAAATTAAATTATTCATGGCATGCAACGATAAAATTAATCTAATTATTGTAGGATAATTACCTAATCAACGCATTATAGTATCTAAACAGTAGGATATGCTCAATTATTGGCTTTAACAATAATGTGAATTTATTGATAATATTGCTTACTATCTCAAATAAAAGTCGATGTAACATGTATTAAGTATAGCTATCAGTTGCAGTGCATACAGTATTTTTAGTATACATTAATAAAATTATTACCATACATTAAAGAAATATAAAGCTATTAAGTGTCTAGCACGTGTGATACCTGTTATGGGCGTTATACATGAACACAGGTTAGAGTTTCTAAAAACAAATTAATATCTCATACTGAAAGCATTTTTCATACTTATCAACATTAACTGTAAGATAATAGATAAAACATGATAACATTATATATAGTCTGCAGTAAAATCATTCCATATACAAGTAGGTATATTACACGACATTTCCTTTCAGAACATTTGCTCCCGAACTGCATATTACTCTAGCAAATATATAGGATCATTTAAATGTAAATATAAATGGCAGTCATAGATACCAGCATTTAAACTAAAAGGTTTCTTTATATTATTCTTATATTAGGTAAGTACACAAAATATTGTTAAATTTTCTTCAGAGGTTTAAACGCAACCTGTACGTATTCATTTAATATTTCATTTGACTCGTCATTAAAAACAACAAAAACAACATAGTAACAGCAGTAGTAAGCTATTTCAATTTATTGTATCACGCAATCAACGACTTTAAACTCAAGTTCTAAATCATTTAATCTTGTGGAATGAAAAATATTAATATAAAAAATCATTTTATATGTTTAGATTCTATATTTTATTACACATTAGTTTTGTTTTTATGAGCATTTGCATTTAATATGATACTACAATATCTAGTGTTTTGAGATGTTCAATAACTTACTAAATAAACGTAAAAATAACTAGCGTACAATTCTTAGCTTACTAAATAACGCAAGTCATGACGATCCATAAATTACACAGTAAATTGACATGGACTAGCTTACTTAATCTTAACTTAGACTAATAGAGACATGTTGGACTTCGTGTGATTGAACTCCAATTGCTATAACCGTGGACTAACAGAATTTATTTTAAGAGACATCAAATTAGTATTTATTTTATAGAATTTCTCTTTCTGATTTAAAAGTACTCAATTTAACTAAATCGAAACAATTAGTGGATAGTTATAAAAATAGCGAATTTAGTTGAAAACATTCATAACACAATATCTACTAATATTAAAATAACATGAAAGTAGCGTTAATCAACTATCCACCCTATAAAAATAGTAGTTAAAACAACATCGGAAATATATTATTGTTAACTTACAACCACACAAATAAAATTAAATAAGTTTTCTAGCTATGGTAACGAGCAATTTTGTTACGCGTACCAATTTTCACTAAGTTATAGTTAGGTACATCAATCAAAGTACTTGTTGTTCATAATATTCCGCATCCAAGATACATAGCCAGATGTGCGCGTATAAATGCCGTACTTGCCTCGTTTTCCACAGCCATCTCCAAAACTCGTTATCCCCTGCGAATAAAGTTAGTTAATAATAAATCTTCTAAAGCTATATTATTTTATATATATGAAACCATTTCTTTAGAATACACCTAACTAAAGAGCTGAAATAAGATAAAGGTTACTTTGCTCTTTACAAGTTGAAGTTTATTTTTATGTTTTCACACAAATTCACTATAGGGATTACATGTAAACCTAGTTCTCTTACTATTGCGATATTATCGCATGTACATACAAATCAATAGAACGTCTAATAACTGATACATTTAAATATCTGGTTGGTTATAATTATTAAATGATTAAAATAATAATACAATTAACCACACAGGCACGATATTCACACGATCTTATACATAATAATACTATTGAGTAGTCAGTTCTCACGACACCCTCGCTTCATCCTTTATTTTATAACCTTTTTTTATTAGTTAATATATTTTTAGTCTATCACACAAAAATTCACAAAAAAATACTATTCTTAAATTAGATTATTTCTTCTGCAGTAATTTTTGAAATAATAATTACCTAATATTTTTAACGAATTCATGTAATATCGCATTTAATACCTGTAGATAATAGCGCATATTTCGATCACGGCATAGTAAAGGTCCTCCCGAGTCGCCCGCGCAGGAATCTTTGCGACCACGGCCAGCACACACCATGTTGTCTGTGATCGCGTACTGCCAATAGGAGCGACGGCATACTCCTTGTTGGATTGTAGCAACCTATCACAAATATAACTTTTTTGTTATGTTACCGTTCAACCGGATAGGCTATATATACATATTTATTATATATATATATATATAGCCTATCCTATCGAACAGCACCAAATAATTTTCGAATAAAATTAATGGTATAAAATACAGACTTAAGCTAGCTCTCTACCAGTCTACCTTCGGGGTGTACACTGTACAGTGTTTCTCAAATGCGGTACTAATTAATTAAATAAATAGAGATAATAACTAACTTAAGATGATGTAATTAAAAGACATCTTGTGTTTATAATTTTAAATATGTACAACTATATGTGTATATAATAAATCTAGACAATAAATACATACAAATATTAAATATACAACAAGATGACGACTGGTGATATAAAGCATTTATAAGATGAGCATGATTTCTTTTTTAAACAGGTACTTATATAGGTACCTCGTGGATGACATCAAACAGTACGTTTCAAAGTTATCAAGCAATCCAAAGTGAAAGAATCAGATATGAAAGTAGATCTGGCAAGTCATTAGAACGAAGGTTACGATTATGAGAGTCTCAGAATTGCTGAAATTTACTTTTCAAAAGAAAGGAACGAAAACGTTGTTAATAAGTCTGTCGAGCTTACATATTTAAAAGATCCTGTTTAAGATCTGTATAACACACATCAGCATAATTGATGATAGGAACAGTAAGAAATTGGACTAAAGTGATCTGATATTATGGCTGCTGTTCATATATCGCGCCTATAAACGATATCCACCACATTATTAGGTATGACTTAAGCTTGTAATAAATAAAGTTACTTGCCTGTGCTTCATGTAGAACTCGGGTACCATGTGAGTCTTGTGGCCGTCTCTTTCCCCAGCCCAATATAATACATGAAGTATGCGGGGGTAAATACTGTTGCGGATGAGGTAAACAGGCTATCCCATGACCCAAGTCCGGCCTCGCTGGCGCTGGTAACCTATCAAAATTTAAAAAATAAATGAGCTCCTGTAGTATATAGCTCCGTGAATTACAATGTATTCATAATGAGGTTCTATTTCCCTTTAATGCTTTTAATAAATAATTTTAAGATTTGGTTATAATTTTCCAAATTACTAAAAAATCGTTTAATGTGATTATTTTTTGGTACCTATTAAAATTGTGATGATTTTTTCCAGAATTCTGGTCACTATACTACCAATGATGCATTACGACTATAAGTCATCAGATCACCTATAGAGATGTAAATGGATAGTAAACAAATCTGTAATCGGTAACCAGTTTAGTAGTCATCAAAAAAAAAAAACTATGATGTAGTGCGACTTTGTTTTCTCATTACTATCAAGAAATTAAAATAAATAAATTAAGAATATAAAAGAATTCCATTAGTAACGACAGTCCATGTTAATAGCACAATAGGCAACAAATATAACTACTGGACAGATTTCTTTGTTCTGAATTGTTTACGACTCTAATAAGTAGTCAAATTTATGCTTATATTTATGTAATTGTGTATTATTATTATTTTACCTTGATTATTCTTTAGGTGAACTGCAGGTTCCTATGCAATTACAAGAGAGCTGGTACACGCAATTACACAAATATAAGCATAAATTGTTTGTAATATTCAAATATCAAATTAATTTTATTTTGTTATTATTAACTCCTTGTGCCGTACAAGGAGTTAACTTGTTTCGTAAAATAAAAGGCGATATAACTTTGTAGGTATTCACAAAATTTCTGAGAGGCTACCTCTTGAAATATAAAACCTTTGTCATATAAATGGTAGTATCAAATGTTACAGAGTCACTGTATACTTCTTGTTATTTCGAATTTGAATAGGTACTGCAAATAGTAGAATGGCTGATTATCGTTTTACAAATCCAATTTAACAATTAAATAGACTGTGATGTCTATGTTTACGAATTTATAGTTAATTATATTTTACAATAACTAATCTTTGGGTTTATATAGTAATTGCATACCCGGCTTTTCTCGCACTAATATTTTTTTAAGTATAGATATGTGACTGTATCTACTTTACAGACCTAAATCTAATAACATCTTTAAATGTTTATATTCTGTGTACTCAGATGACTGACTGATGACAGAGGTAAACACAAAGATTTTCTTACTTCATGGAATATCTGATAACAAAGATACTAATTGATTAATTATTATATAATTTAACTCTGAATTAATTACTGTAAAAGAGGACTTCAAAATACACATTTATGTATTCATTCGCCACATATATACAGCACTCTATACCTTATATCTAAATATTCAAATGCCGTAAACATTCCGCGCCAGTAGGTAATTTACCTACTTGCTGTAAGCAGCCGTTCAATATCTTGAATTGCCATGAATTTAGAAATATTTTCATTTCAAATGGCGCGATTTTATGCAGAAAGTGTTTTATATTTTTCATAGAGCATAACTCTATTTGTAAGAAATGTTCTCGAATACAACGCGATGTATCATTTATATGTGCAAAGAATATCTGCATATATAAAATATATTTGCAACATAAAGATTTGCTTATTCTGTTTATTACTAAATATTTTACCCTTATATATAACAGAATAAGCAAATGTTTATATATGACGCTATGCGGTCCGGAAAAATAGCGCAGCCCTCTAATTTTTAGGATTCTCGGAAACCTTATAACATAGTCACAAAATTCATCAAAATCTGTTTAACTGTTTAGAAGTACTTAGGTGACAAACACACGTACAGAAGAATTATATATATATTAATATTAAGATACATCAATATTACAATATAATTAGAAAGTAAATTCTATATAGATGACAAGAGAAATTATCTATTAAAATCGTTCTGACTATATTATAATCATTAATATTTTTTTAAGATATAAATACTAAAGTGAAGACAATGAGTTACTATGAGTCTAGGACGTAATATTACCTACGAGCTAACTAAATATATTAAACCTAATAGTTTTTAACAATAGACCAAAAAGATTCAATTCTCAATCTTATCATCGCACTGTCAAAATTAGCACCAACGTTTGAAGTAAAGGCGATGAACAAAATTGCAACCGTATCGAAATAGGTAATCAAAGTAAAAATGTTTCAATGCTATACTGGAATACTGAACGATATTACAATACATCTGGGAATAATTCCGCCACTGTTTAGGTTGTAATGTTAATCGCAGATACGGATGTAAATAGATTTCGCAACTGCACGTACTTTGCTTATCAAACATTGCCCCTAAATTAAGCACTGAAGCGTGTAATTGACTTTCACTAAATTTATTCCGAGTTCCTAGTTAAAATTTATGTCGGAAAGTTAAGAGGGTTAAATAAATATATCAGATGGTAGATATTTTGATGCAGGAGTTTGATATCAATAGGTTTAAGCACAGGTAAAACAATATACCTTCGTAATGGCAAGTAGTTCAATAATTTTTAGTAGATATTTGCGTCAAATATATTTATGTCTATAATATTACGCATTCTCTTTTTGTACGAGAAACATTTTATGCAAAAAGTATATAGGTACCTAATTATTTCTAACCTTAACATGGCAACGTCGTTGACTACTGTATCAGGGTCATAAAGAGGATGTACAACTGCTTCTAAAACCCTCATCTCCACTTCACCTCGGTTTTTCATCATGAGATCATATTCTCCCAGTCTTACATATAACCGTTTCCTCACGCAATGTGCAGCCGTCACGACCCAGCGAAGTGATATCAATGTTCCGCCACAGAATGCTTCCTGTTGAGAATTAATATCTACTATTAATATTAAACATTGTTAAAATATAGAAATCTATTAATAATGTTCAAAACTTAATTTTTCTTAATTTGGTGGTGGTATCCAGAACTCCTCCTTAAGTAGGGGTCCCCAAGATGATCATATGAGACAGAATAATTCGGTAATAAAGAAATTACATTTGTTACTCTGTCTAAACTCTTGATTTTATACATTTTTTTATATAGGTACATATGTTTGATGTTACTCTAAGGTACCGGTATCAGAAATTGCACTAGTTTAATGCCAAATACTTAATACATTTAATGTATCTAGTAATATATGTATAGATATAGATATATTTAGATACAAAACCAGTGTCGTTACACTTAAGAAATTATTTTGTTTTAGCCTATAATTTATTTTCTTTATAATAATTATTTCCTTATTTTTTTTATTTGGATGGAGTAATGTACTTACCTACATTTACTTGTATTACATTACTGTAACAATATACATATCTAGTTACATATTATGTAACAATTTACTATCATATATTGTTAAGAAGTTAGAATCAGGACAGAGTAATGGGCCCCACTAGCCCCTTGGGAATCTAACCCGACCCGCACAAAACTAATTTAAGATTCTCATTCGCTAGATTTAAGGGACAATTTTATTTAATATGCTTGGAGTACCTCCAGATTCGTTAGGTATTTAATTGAATGTGAAGACAATAATAAAATGTGTAACATTATATTTCTAAAATACACTTATTAAAATAATAAACAATATCATAAAGATATTTTAAAGATTTTGTGTTTATAATATTCGGATATCGGAATAATGTGTGTTCTTTATATATTTTAATCTCCTTTAATAGGATTGTTAGGGTATTGTAATAAAGATAATATAAGATTTTGTGCATCCAATAATTCTGAATGGCAACAACATTGAACCAATTGAAATAATATAGGGACACCGTCCCGAAAACTTCTACTGCCGAATTTGCCTACGTGACAATAATTGAATAGGACATAAAGTAAGTTCGACAGCTTTCCCTTTACCCAAGTTACGTATACGCCAAATACCATCACAATTTGATTGGTTTAATAGTAAACACAAAAAGCGTTGAAAATAAAGAATAAATTCATATTGTTTATCCTCATGTCGTCGTTATACAATCCATATCATTACTTTAATTTCATTCGCTCCGTTCAGATATTTTATCATTTATATTTATAGTATTGATTTGTTGTAAGTAAAATATACCTTATATCGATTAAGCACAGCAATTTGCCATGGCCATTTGCCAGGAGGAGCTGGTCTACCGCCTATGATACGCATCATATCCTGCATACGCGCCCGCAACCTTGCACTCGATGTACCACGGAACCGACCAATCTGTCCGCAAACGGGCATGGCATTACGCGATACGCGTGTGTCTTCGGGATGGATTGCTGGTACAGACATCTGCATTTTTTCAACAAATCTATATTCTGTAAGGCAAGTAAATAACAGTATTAATTTTTTTTAATTAGGTACGCCTTTTAAATTGTGGTTAGTATAAATCATTAATTTATTTTATTGTTATTTCTCTGAAATTCTCCATCTTCTGCTTTGCATTGTCTACTACCAAATTTGTTTGTGTAAAAATTACGCGATAAAAATATATTAATTACTCAGAAAAATTACGGCAACCTTATCGAATTTGGTCATAAAATCATTAATCATTAAAGAGTTTGAAAAGTATTTGTTTCAAAAACAGTATACAGTATGAATCCGTTTGAATTATTTATGATATACAAAGACTTAAATTCTAATTCACAAACCATTGTGTACAGCTTGAAATAGATACACGACTCTTAAATATGTTTATGCACGAAATTAAGAAAGCAAATAAAGGAAAAGGCGTAAAGCGAAAAGTCAAAACAATACAGGCGTAAATCCTATCGACAGATTAGGAATTTATCATAATCTGTAGATAGTTTAAAGCTCATATGGTACGTCATGAATAGGTACATAATTATAAAGCAAACCATTTAATAATGAACATTAACTACGTGCTGAATATTCTACTTTTTAAAAGAATACGTTGAGTTTTCTCTAGAACGACATAAAAATAAAGTTGAGAGGAATATCTAAACAAAAGTATCTGAACAATGAATAGGCGTTCTCGACGTACATCAACTAAATGACATTTGTTCTTAACGACAGACTGTACCGCTGAAATCGACGGGTATATGTGTGTGATACATATACTATGAAGATTCAACCAATTGTTCACAAAAATGAAACATTCCTAACTAAATGTAATGAAATTATTTATTTGCGAAATACTAGTACAATAGATAAGTTATTACGTAAAAAGTAATTAATATGCAATATTTACTATAACAGTCATGCAAATTATAAGAAAGTATTCATTTTTGTAAAATATTCTTGAACACTATAAAAATTATTAAACAATAAACGACGTAAACCAATTCTTGAGTTTACGTCTTTATAATATAAGAGATGACAGGTCCCTAATATCTTTAGGAAGATTATTGTATACTTTAATTCTCATGTACAATAGTATACATTTGTTGTATACAAATCTAATCGATATATTGGTGAGTATAGGTTGTCATTAGATCTCATTATGCGTATTGTTGAGTCTGATAATTTCTTATCTGGTATTGAATAGTCGTAATGTTCACTTCCAAATGTCTTTCAGATACATAAATGGGAACGGAGGAATTTAAATATTTTAAAAATACGGCGACAACTTTATCAGATTTATCTCTAATATTTTGCACAAGAAGTATCTTTGTAACATCACCATTCATTTTAACTACTACCAGTGTTTTATTAGCCTTGTCTGAAATTACGAATGATTAAAATCTAAAAAATGAGATGAAATGGCTGTATGAAAGCATAATTTAAAGTCGGATTATTGGTTTTGACATTTTTATGAATGAGAACGTTAAACGGACGTAAAATATTTACGAGATTATACTTATTAATTATTAAGATTATAAGATTATTATTTAAGTAGATGGTAGATATTATTTTAATGTAAAAGTTGTTAGCTAAATAGGTACCTATGTGCAAGATCACCTGGGTCCTTTCGCTTCTGCATCCTACCACGAATCCAATTCTGGCAGTAACCACCTTCCATGTAGCAATAAGCCGATTGTCTTAGTATTCTTCGACCACAAAATACGCGCCTCTGGCATACTCTAAGAACACAAAGATAGTAGGAATTTAATATGTATATAATATTTTACTTTGTATATAATAGTAAATATAGCAGTTTTGAAAAATAACCGTTCCTTTTGTACTAGGTTTAATACTTTAAACTTAATATCGCCCTGAGCTTGTACACACCAATCTCTATAAATATATTCACATATTATTTTCCATTGTACCTAATTAAAAGATTGATATGATTTATATTGTTCAAGTTTATACCCAAATATAAATATCACATCATAACACATGGGTTATTTATAATAAAATCTAATCAAATTAATATAACATAGATCTTTGATATGCCTATTAAGGTATGCAAAATATTGTACAGAGAACCATTGCAAATAATTGGAAATACTTAGGCGCACCACTTGAAAACAGTGTTTTCTCTGTATCAAGTTGACATCGCTCTACAAACCTTCGTAGTTAATACGTTACGATAGGTTCAGTGAAGTGACTTTATCGCCATCATTTCACCCTTCACTAGTTACACGCCAGCGCACACGATTAGCGTTGACGGGATTCCATTACTATCTATGTACATATGAAACTACACATAGAAAACCACCGAATTTTACACCTCTTCTCTCTATCTCTTTTTCCGTAAATTCCGTATTTGCTAAATTTAAACTTTGTTTTAAAACCAAAGAACTGGCAGCTATCTCGTACAAAGAATTAGTCTAGCTACAAAGGGGGAACGCTGCCAGTGTTTTCGGAACCTTGCCTAAACGGACTCCTTTTAATAATATATTATAGTTATTATATTATATTTTTTAAGGTTTTTAGTATAATGTTCATTGTTGTTGTATACATTTTTTATATAATAGTATATGAATTTTATATAATTATATGCAATAGACATTATACTAAATGTAATATAAATGTTTGTCTTTTTTCTGTGAGAAGAATAAAGAATTTTCATTTCATCTCACATATTAATGACATACTTAAACTTTGTATAAAACAATATTATTCTGTGCTATAATTACCTTCGTCTGACTGTAGTACATTTTCTGGAACACTTACTCCAAGGGCCCCATGGCGAGTACCCTCTCAACCTCTTCTGTATTTCATCCCCATTCAACTGACGTGGTTGCTATTAATCAATAAATAAATGTTTATTTTTATAATATTGATGGATAAAAGTATGTACAATATTGACTCTCTCATTTTAAAAGTACATAAATGGTCCTTCTAGAAAGTAGTAATCGTTAGTTGTGTACTTATGGATATGAACAGTCTCACATATATCTCAAAATCTGACCTCTCTGACGGTATTAGATGTTCGTTTGGAAGTAGGAAGGGTGAGGGAAATAGTGAGCTTACCCTTCCTATGTCCATTTCGCCCTTTTTTCTACGACTTAACATCTAATTGCCTGTAAATTTAAACAGTGCTTATAAATATAAGTGCGCTGTGGAGTGGACAGTTGTTACTTGAGAATCTCATTTTATGTTTCCATCCACTCTTTATTTATTATTATTATTCATAAAAAGCATCTATACGGAATACTCGAAAATATATGGTAGTAAAAAAAACATATTAAAGCCGTACAGAAGCCGTTCAGAAGAAAAAAGTTGAGAAACAAACAGACAAGATTTCTTATTATTACATGTATGTAGACTCAATTTGAGAATACATTGATGACGATGATCATTGAAATCATTTGACTGAAATTCCGAAGATGATTGGAGGATTATAAACAGTTGGTTCTATGTTTATCAAATAAGTCCATTAAATCAAAATGCGTATATTTATATCCGCCTATATTATATTAATTTACGCCACAAAAATGATCGAAAATATTATTATAGAGATTTCAAATATTGTGTAACTTTGTTTATGTGATACTCGTATGTATCTCACAAAATATAGCTATTTGAAATCCCCGTATCTAAGAGAAATATAGGTAAACGCAATATACAGTTTTATATTGCTAGCAGTCACATGTTACTATCTACATATTTGATATATAGAAGGGACAACTTTGTAAAGCTTAGAAATATGTACCTATATGCATGAAACTCGTAAATCGAACGCATGTCGTTCGCATATTTGAAACTATATATCACCATCATGTCCAACTTCCTGCTCTCCATTACCGATATATAATATAAAGAAATAAAGGTAGTACGTTTTATTCAATGTCAATAGGAAAATTTGTCCTACTGCAATAAATTAGTGATAAGAATTAGCATTGGCATAAATAAAGCATAAATTACCAAGATTGGGATTAGTCTGGGATTTCTATTTATATTATCTCGCCACGTATCTCAGAATACATAGAATAACCCTGTAAGCTTAATCATTAAATAAATTACAATTAAAATAGTACAACAAAACATACATCAAAATATACTTTCATTACTAGTAATCCGGATTGGGTAGTTAGAGAGAGTCAGATCAGAGTCATCGGCAGTTGTCGACGTCATGATTAACACATTTATCATTCCCACATTTCGCTTTTTTATATTGGCAATTTTGAACTCACAACCTTTTAGAGTGCACGCCAGTATAGACTATTGACAAATATTTGTATTGTATCATATTATATAATAATATTTTTCACTGTAACTGTTTTTTAATCCGACATATCTTTTGCTACCATTTACAGACTTCAGAGAATTTAAACATAAAAATAGTACTAGGACAAGAAATTATAACTAAATGAATAGTTATTTTTCAGGACCTCATAATAAATGAAATCTATTTATACATGCTAATATGTATATAAACTGATAATTAATTAATAATAATATTAAAATAAAACACAATAGAGAAAAAAATAAGACTGCGCAATTTTAATGGAATTCCTTAAAATTATATTTCAACCAGGCAGGGATATTGCTAACTCCTGGCTTTTAAAAAGAGATCAGAGGTTTTATTAAGTAATTTTAACTTTTTAGAATCTCCTTAATGTTTCTTAATTGGATTTTTTTGTCGAAAGATAAATGCGAGGTGTTAAAGATCACCATTTTGTCCGTCATTGGAAAGTAGATTAAAGTAAAATGTAAAGAAGTCAAATAATTAAATATTAATAGCCTCCAGTAGTAATTTTTCAAGGTACCTATTTATAAATGTATAATTTGTACTGAAATACTCTATCCACACCACTTATACTTAATGATATATTATGTTTTATTTTTAATATGCAGCAACATAAAAAGAAATGTATATTCGGTACACAAAACCTTGGTATAATTAAAATTTCTTTTCAAATGTTTCTCATGTATCAAGGCACATTACTGCCCATTCATTTCAAAGAAATTTAATTTTATATAAAGAAGAAAATGGAAATAAACCATAGAAAACAGATAACAATAATGGTATTTTGTAAGAAAATAATGTTTTTCTTATTTAAGTACTTGTTATTCCACGAAATAATATGAGTTTATTCGTAATGAAATTACTGGACAACATGAGATAAAACTTGTTAAATGTAAAAATAAACACCTTTAGTATAAAATTGTCGAAAATATCTAATGTACTTTCAAAATTATTATATTAGAACAATTACTACTATTATAAATAAATGATTTATCAGAATAAGCATTATCTTTCCACAAACAAAAGGAGACCTATTGTTTTTTTTTTCTCGAAATGTTTCTGTTCTGTATATTTTACTAGCTGCCCGCCCCGGCTTCGTATTGGGTATACATGTGTTATTTTCACATATTAACCTTGCATCGGAATCACTCTATCTATTTCTGAAATACGCATTAAAATCCGTTGCGTAGTTTAAAAGATCTAAGCGAACTGATAGTGAAAGCGACTTTGTTTTATACTATGTGATGATAATATTTGTGGTACATTTTTATCTTAAAACTATACCTAATTGAAACCAACCTATATACTGCAACTACTTACCTAGAATTGTAACCATTTATGGTACATTTAAAATATGTTTTCTATATCAGTTAAAAATAAACTTCAAACCGAGAATCTCCGTTTTCTTTAAAATAGAATGAAATAATTCTCCTTGGCTCCTTTTGCCATTTGTTTATATTAAATGGCTACAAATAAGTTAACGGCATAAAGTAATTTTTTACAATAACATATGGCTACAACATATGGGATGTCACGTGCGTGCTGCCAACCCTTACGACGCCCTTATTTACGCCCTTTGTGAAAAACTCCATGCTGTATTCTCTAGGGAAAACCTCTGCAGAAAGAAGATTCCATGGGCTGAGAGTTCGAGGGAGAATGTTATTTCGAAACCGTACTGCACGGGACAATTTCAGTTTATGGCTTGAATTCCCATGAAGTCGATGGCGAACGGTACTAAAGTAGATTACAAATACATACAACTGTGTGTGATGAATCTGAAGACTGTATCTAGTTATTAGCGCAATGGAATTGAACTCAACCCTGATTACTTACCAGCTAACCCAGATTACTAACCAGCCCCGACACTGAAAGGTCGCTATATTAAAATACCACAGCGCCCTTCCGCGATACTTTTTCTTGGAGACCCAACATTTTTCTTACTCCAATAATTAAATTTACCTAACACAAAATTCTTAAGGCTTTATATAAATAGATGTGGTTATTTTCTTATAAATTTACTACACTATTTCACCATTTATTTAAAAAACGTTATTTTAATCCAACAGTCAAAAATAGAAGTATTTTTGACTGTTGGATTAAAATAACGTTGCACACCATAAAGTAATAAAATTCCATAACTACCATTTGTATTTGCACAGATTTTCTTCTTGTTTCTCCTGGAGTCATCTTCATCGCGTGACGCAAGTCGTTTGTTCGCTTGCAACTGTAAACAAATTTTGTGTTTGCAAATATCCATCTATTCCGCATTAGCTATTAACAAACAGTCTAGCTATTCACATAACAATCACCATTATGCCATTATCTAAGCTAATAAAAAATAGACAAATTGTAGCAGGATTCCTGTGCTTAATAATGTTATAAGTCTTATACATTTATTCAGGTGATGTTTTTATTGAAACAGATGAAGTATAACTCATCATAATGCAGCCAAATATAATGTAAACTAAGTGAAGAAAATAATGTTATTGTTTTATTTTATGTAAAAACCTATGAATTTTTATATGGCAGTGTAAATTCTTGTTCAAATATATATATCAATTTCATACTTAGAAACGTATATTTCTATAATAGGTCTAACAGGTCTCGCTGATATAGAGGTAAGGTACTGTAATCTTTAATAAAAATATTTTAGTACTTTAAAAAAAACTAATGTCTTCATATATTTAACTTATTCCATAAGTTTGTTACTAAAAAAATACACCGTAAACAACTAGTAGACAGCTAACTATTTAATAAATATCGATCCATAATGTGATTTTAATAGTTCTTGTTCATACAGTTTGAAATATAAAGGCATGTTTTTTTTGTAAACCTATAGAATCCTAAGTAAATCTAACAAAACAATTTATAGAGTCTAGAAACAATAAACAAAGTTATTGTAGCAAGTCGATTTTGCTTTTGAATGGAATTTGTGGCAAAAGTTTAAATGGAAATAGATTGTACGAATCCCATAAATTTTAACGGTCTAAGAGTTTTATAATAAATTAGAAAAGCTCAAAACAACATTGGGTTTGACTTATTATCAATATATTTGAATTTATATGTCCTGTATACTTAAATTGGAAATGGTGATGTATGACAAATATTCTGGGCATCGTACCATAATTTTGTAAATATCTAAGGCTATATTATGATGACATTATATTACTGACATTGTTTTAATAAAATAAACAAGTATATTTGTAAGATGTAATGAATATCTGGTCACCACATTTTTTTTCTTTAGCAAAACTTACTTGATACTTTTAATAGAACTGATATACAAGCATGGATAAACAAGCATGACTACTATGATTTACCTACATGACTATTTGATTTACCATTTCTGACTACCTGACTTCTTATACATGTTCTGTAAGTAATTTCAATATAATATTCATCTGAAATACCAAGCAAATAGATTTATTTGGTATAACTTAAATATAGTCAGTTCAACTATGTAATATTATGTTATCTGTGGTTCAACTAACCTTACAATTTCTATGCGCAGTGCACTCCCACATACTTCTTGGCGCACGCAATGTCGACGTCTGGTTTTCTTTCCGCTATGGCAATAACTCCATCGACTCCATTTAGAAAACGAAGGTTCCAAATATTTGTCTATAAATTTAAAAACGTTATAATAAATATTAATTCTTTAGTTTAAGATTAATTTATACATATTGCTTATTTACTATATTTACTTATTTGTTATTTATAATGACGTATGTTCAGTTATAAAATATGTATGTTAAGGTCTATAAGAATTCTCTTTTTGTACTTCGAGTATAAAAAGAAGCAAAAAGTAGACTAATATACCTATAAGTAAAATTTTAGATTTTTAGGTACCCCTAAAAATCTAAAATTTTAAATCACAATTTAAAGTTTAATCTTGATAAAATTATTACACTGATTAAACTGATATAAAATAGATATATATGTATATATGTATGTTATTCCATTAAAAACAATATTATCAAATCCAATTTTGATTTCACAGGTATCGCGTTACATATTTAGTATATATGCAAAAATGTACTTTATTGGAGACCTTATTATTGTTATCCCACATCACTTAGATATTATTTGTGTTCGTAATATTCAAAACGTCGTGTAATTAAACGCAACGAGTTGTAAACGTCGACACAGTAATTATTAATTAGCAATTACAACTTTCAAACGTAACATCGGAAACTTAAGAGACGGTTGCGAATACCTCTTGTAGATATAATAATTATTACATCTCCTTTTAATTACGAATCTTGTGTATTTAGATAGAGAAATTTAAATGTTGTCTTATGTACTGCGTTAAAGGCAAATGTGTCAAATAAGAAAGGTTTATCATAGGAAAACAGAAATAGGAAATAGCTAACAATTCTGAGGTATTGTTTGAAGTTTTATGTAAATATTTATCATAATTGTAAATTTCAAAGGATGTTTTGTATAATTAATTACCTGTCATTTCCTGCTACAGGTTTTATGAAATGTTAACTCCGTTTATTATTGAGGAATTTATTGATATATTTTCTGAGATATCACAAAGCTACATTTTTAATAACAATTCATGTATTATCAATTGAAATAATTATATCATTCGATAATATATTTGTTATTTCCTGCCTCATCTAGGAAATTGTCTTATTCTTTAATAACATTTCATATAATTTTACAGACTAACAGGAAGCTTGTTATAATTATTCATCGTGTTTTACATAATGATGGTCGTTTGTAAACTGCTGATGCCACAGCCCCATCATGAGAATATAAATTTGAAAGTCAAACATTTAAGAAATCTCTTAATCCCAACCTAGATTGATGAATGTTATCCTATGATAAAATGGAAATATATTTAATCAAGTTAACGACTGGAAATGAAGAAGTCAAAAACCTAACTTTTTCATACATACATTTTAAGTATACGATGTAATAAAACATAATTATAGGTACGTATTAAATTTCAGAAGTTTTAGAGTCCTGTTTATTGCAACTATATAAATATACTGTAATAAGTTAATACAAGCAACCAAGTGATACGAATCTAGTGATTTATAGTTCATTAAACGTTAGCATTCACTACACATTTAGATAGAGTACGCAGATACATACATAGTTATGTGTATATGTTATGTGAGTTATATATTCGCCAAACATTACCTTATTCCACAGTCGAGTAAAAGTGTGGTGGTCATAAAAGATACTGTGCGATTCATAAAATGACTCGTACTGTTTAACGACATAGTGCTAATTGCCATATAAAGTCCAGACCCTCTTGACAAGTTGCAAAAGAATCCTATTTAGTAAAAATCACAGATAACATAATATTACAGTAAAAATAATGTTACGCTCTATTTTTTTTTATACTATACTACTTTTTACTTTTTTTTATACTACTATATCCTTTTCTCATGTATTTCCGAGAAAACAAAGGGACTAGACATTTTTATTTGATTACAATAGAAAACGATATGCTCTCTGGTACATAAATGCTAATAATGACTGTACCTATAGATTAGCGTCCCCTAAACGTTTTATGATATATTATATAGATAATGATTGATATCGGAACTTGTATAATTGAGTTGTTAGTGCTGTAATGTACATTAATATGTGTAATCATGTTTGTTCATTAGTAGGTATAACTTCATCACCTCAGTAATTATTATTGTTTAAAAGGGGTGAAAATTAGATGTATCGAAATAAAATAGAAGTAAACTTTACCTTTTTTCACAATTGCTTTATTTTGCATATGGTCATATAGATTATCCTGTGCATCCACAACACTCCCATTCCTTGCCGCTTCCTCGATATTAGCCTGAAACAGTACATATTTTTTTTTATTAAAGAAGAAGTCGAGCATTGTCAGTGTATTTTTTTTATTTAAAAGTATAATATAGTTATACTAAAAAATAACAAATGTAAATGATAATTTCTTTATTTTGGTGGTGTACTATAACACTTAAGATAAATCTTATTTAAATGTAAATGAGATTAATTTCCTAAGCTCTAAAATAAAGTAGTAGCTACTACAGGTATATAATACTTTATTGACTTTGACGTAGGCATATACTATTTAAATTAAATAACGACGAATCTTAGTATCCAACCCATCGGATACTACATATAAAATTATGGTTTCCAAATTGACATCAATAAGAATTGATTCATTGACCAATTTCTCAAAAGAACATATCCGCTACTGAAGTCACAATATGTTCCTTTCAATTAGACGGTTTGTACGCGTATATCCCCCAAGAAACTACATTGGCTAAAAAAGAATAAAACTACCCAAACCGGCATATTGTTTTGATTTATTCTATGGAAAAAAATGTAACTGACATGTGACGCAAAGCAATAAAGATAACCCTTTTATTCAAAACTGCAATGCCTTACCCTTAATATTACATTTCATTTTTTACGATCAAGTCAAACTTCATTTTAACTACATACTATTAATGCAGGTACTCATTTTAAAATTTAAAATAATATTTTATACGTGTAAGATTTTATATATTAATTGAAATTGATAGTTTCAATTAATATATATATAATAAATTTGATATATCTAATCATATGCTTATGGAAAGCAGGAACATTATCGGTACCACAGGTTATAAAAAATGTGATCCATAATTTTACGAGTTATACGGCTCACTAGTGATAAATAAAATATTTACCTCATTCAACGCGGTAAAGTAAATAAAGATTAAAAGATTATTGAATAGTTCAAAACAGTTAATGAATATAGTAACTTTGATTTTAGTGAATCAGATGTTGCACTACTATCAATATTGTTACGACGTATAATAGCACCACCATATGAACTGTTACCTATTCGGTAAAGTGGGTCAATCCTTTTAAAAATCCATAGCTTGCACACAATAGTTGCACCCAATTGATAAAGACGTAGCCATTTCAATTTGGCTGAAAGCCAAGTATTTTGTTATAGTTGCAATTTTGACAATGAGAAGCATTTGTATGTAGCATGAATCAGTTCTTTTCAATAGCGAACATTGCATTGCCTTTAATCGTCATAACACAATTATTGCACAAATTCAATATGCAGTTACTGATGTCAGATAGAAACTACAGCCAATATAGTTTAAGCGTTAAAGTGTCCAGATAATCATGAAGAAATTATTACCGATCACTTTTAAAACCATAAGTCTTAAAATTGAAATTTTTGAATTAATCTATAAATAAATTTCTTCTTTTTCTATATATCAAGTAATTAAAATAAAAACGTATTTATACTTTTATAAATACTTTTAAATAATGTATATACATTTACAATTATTATTTTATTAAAAATTGTAACCCTTGACACAAAGAGAGTGTGTTGTGTCTGTTATAAGTTAAATTTTACGTATCTGCTGATCGCAATGGTCCGCGGAGCACTAAATAAAAACCATTGTCCTAAACTAATGGATCTATTATGATGCGGTTTTTTAAATCAGGCGTGATCGATTTAGTTCTTAATTCTTCTAATATAATATATAAATATTTATTCAGCCTTTTCAAGGTCATCATCTCTTTTTGTGTCGTGGGTTTTATAATTATTATATTTTATTTACTTCGAGACTTGTATACTTACGTGTTCACCGAGAACTTTTATAACAATAAATATGTTAACAACAATAAGAGAGCACAACCCCTTCATATTCTATGGGCCTGACCAATATGACTTCACGAGTACTCGGCATCTAGAAGCAAATGTACATAATTAATGTCGTGAACGCATTTAATTAAAAATAAATCGTCAAAATTTGACTAGAACTGACGAAGTTATTACGTTAAAAGTATGGGGGTATTAAGGTCCTCAAACATGTATGTAACAATTAATTTTTGACTGGCTTTATTAAATGAAAAACTAAAAGTAATTTCCCTCCACACATGACGCAATATTTCCATTTCTCCAGAGAATTTCATAAAAACTTTTATAAATGCCAAAAGCACACGGTTCCAACGTTGGATAACTTTCAGCTCAACTACAGTCTGTTAAAGTCTCGGAGTGGTTCTCTATCCCGATAACACACATTTATATGGAGGTCAGACATTTATGGATGGAATTTTTGATATGATGAAAATATGCCCAAATAAAATTTTCTGTAAATATCTTTCAATTAAAATGTCTACACATTCTGTTCCGTATTCCGAAGCTAGTTGTATCTTCAGCTCTCTTACTAAAGCAAAAAGCTACGAAAGCACCTAAAAGTATTAAAAAAAATTCTAAGTTAGAACACAATTAGGATTAATTTTTATTAATAAATCTACCCATAAAAGTATGTACCTACTACACGTCTTGACGTTCCTGAACAAAGATGAGTGAATTGTGTGTTACTTTGGTGTATCTTAGGGGTGCTCGGAAGTGGAAGTTGTTCTTCCTCTTGGAAGAACAACTTCACGTCAACAAGTCATATTTCCCCTTCCTTTTTTTTTAATTATTAGGTCACCAACAAGGTTTACACCAACACAGTTACATTATATATAAAACATTACAGTGTATTTATTATAATTTATTATAAGCACAGCCTTAATTATAGGCAACTACGACATTTATGTAACAAACAATTCCTTTCACAATTGCCATTCATTTTTATGATATACAGTCTATATTCACTATATAACCCATTCGAATTCTAAAGTAAAATAATCATAAAATTAAACTAAGTAAACTGTATATTTCTTATAAAATATTTTATAGCCTGCGTTTGGCAACTCAGTTAAGACATTTCTTTTAAAGAATGAAAGATGTAAAAGAATATTTGTGTATAAATATTTTCTTTCATATTTTTTTAATTAACTATTGTTTATATGAATATTTATTACTGTATTCACATTAAATAATTAAATATAACAGTGACATACTTGTTTACATAGAATGTACAAGAACTTCATCAACAAACAATCGAAAATTCATGACCAAGATCTCCGGGGGACTGTAGTGATTTACAAAGGGCGAAGCGGTAGAATATTATACTTAGTTTAGCTATAATACTACTGTAAGGGTACCAGACAGGTTAGTATACCTATAATATACATATATTAAGCATGAGATTGAACGATGATTAGGTATAAAATATAAGTTTTGACCCAAGGGTCAAGTGGAAAATTTCTCAACTATATCAAGATGTGGTTGAGAAATTTTTCACTTTTTAGTGTTTATACTTAATAGTCAACATGAATATTATCGAATGGAACTAACTGATGAATAAATTAATTTAATATATACTAATGTCTAAAACTTTCTTGCTACATAACTATACTAACTTTTTTGCTAAATAAATGTTATTATTATTATTACTATTTAAAGTTAAATTGGTTTGATAAATTTAGTCGTAGAAATACTATAATAGTATTGTCCTACCTAGTTTTAGAAAAAATCTATTTAGTTACCTATTTTAGTCTTTTTCCTGAGGGATTTATTTTTCTATTACATAATTATGTTATACATGTGTAACAAAAAAATTCATTGCAGAATATAAGTTTCATAAACGTCAATATACAGTTTATATCTTTTTAAATATTCAGATTATGTATACTGGATATTTAATACGATACGATTTTTAAAGAGCATCCGATGTTACAACGCTGGCTGTTACATAAATCTTAGTCCCAGGTCGATTGAAAATGGCAGTAAATGTAAAATAATAACTGCTATTAAATACTTACTTGCTTAGTCTTTTTCACTATACAGCGTTACCACTACTACTTGAAAGTCAGAACAAAACACATTCACTGTACAACATTTTGAAGCGTATCTAGTTTTACACTTATTTTTAATTAAACCTTACATTCCAAGATCTAGACATTTTGATACCATCTTCTCTATTGAAATTGCGACATTTATTAAATTCAATGGTTTCTTTCATCATTCTAGGGACGGAACGGTATTGTAAATAACATTTTTGTTTCATTAAATTCCATCAAATGATTCGGGTCCGCTTTCATTAAATGTTCAACTATAACAGATTCCTGTTTATTATTTTGTACTTTTCCGGTTTAATATGCTTACAATACGACACAGCGCATCTCGTAATCGTTATCTAAGGAAATGCACCATGAACGCTTCGTCACTACTTGACACTCATGTGTATTCCTCATAGGTTGCCATTCCTGAGAACTAAGTTCTCGTGTCACCATACCCTGCTATATCCCACCCTTGTAACCAAAATACAAAGCACTATAGCTACTTGGTAGCAGAAATAAATAAGACACAGGTAGCTTGCCAATGTGTATTGGTAGATGAAGATAAACTTAAGATCTTATATATTTAATCATATTTTCAATGGAAATTTTTTGTAACACGTAATTGTCGCAAATGCCTATCCATATTTAGAATATGCAGATAAATGCGATAGACAATGGCACAAGCACAATGCAATTAGTGCATGTAACAACACAATTCTAACACCTTCAATCTACACTAGACGTATATAGAAAGGTCATACAGATATGACACTCGGCATTGTTTCGAAAAATAAAATGGACAAACTGCCCTCACACATATGGTATTGACAAGGAGAGGCCAAGAATATCTTTGTTCACTTCCACATATAGTGCCATTTAAAAATGTGCAGGTATTTCGTATCTAACTGAAAGTTTAGACTTGTACTAATTTTAGTATTAGTCATCGAGGTACCTACTTGTTAACGTATTAGTTGCTATATTACGTCTAAGGGTCATATTTAGATCATATTTTTAGCTTATAGAAATATTAAACTCTACTTTGAATACAAATTATCGAATATTTAAACTTTATAAACTTAAGAGTTCTGATTTTATCATATAATAACCATCATTTAAGCATACAGTAATTCAATTATATAACACATGTTCCGATGATAGCATATTACATATTTTACAATTTGTTGATTATAGTAATGAATAAAAGAGTTATTACTATTGATGTTATTGACTGTTAATAGTATGTATATCGGTTTGGGTATGTTTCTAAGTACTATATTAACAAAATGTATTGAAATATGCCTATAAATTGTCTGGTATCCATAGTTCTAATAATTTGAGATGACGGTATGTGCGATATGTCCAAAGATATTCTTTTATTGCTAATATTTTTCTTGTCATTGTGTCTCTCATTAATCTAAGATAGTGTGGCGTCTCTATGTTTATTATTAGGTATAATTGCAAGTTACGTGGGAAGACTATTATCCACGGAATTAATGTTCCATTAGCACAGGATCATTGAACTATAAACATACATTAACATGAGGTCTTCTTTTGTTATACATTTATTTTTACTTGCTACATAATCTTTCAAATATATACGATAAGCGGTTGCCTAGTGTGTTTTCCGTGGGAGAATATCGTTTAATAATAAGTACAGACATGTTTTTTTATTTCTTTATCTAAATGTTTGTGACCTATTCATGTTAAATACTATTCAAGTAAAATTGACTATGAAAGATTAGGAAAATAATTACGTCAAATGATATTATAGACGAAAACGGATAAAGATGCAGCATTATCTATATGGCATTATTGTAAAAATGTCTTCTTCGTAATATTATAAACGCGGAAGTTAGTGAGTGTGGATGGATTGATGGATGTATGTTTGTTACTCTTTCACGGAAAAACTACTGAATGGATATTTATGAAACTTTGAAATAATATAGCTTATATATTTGTTTCCAATCCAACAAGATAAGAGGCGAACCCACCGCAACGTGTCTTAGATTAATTAGTTGTTTACCTTTGTTTTCCATTATCGAATAGTTAGAAATTTTAATTGATAAAGTTTCGGCGTCGGCCAGATTCAAATTACGTCTTTTGATGTCTATAAATCTAATTAGTAATCCACATCACAAAGTAGTTCACCCTTTGTCTAAGTATAAATGAGTAGTTTCTCCTTTAAAAAAATATTATTACAAAAATATATTATTTTATAATGAACAGGTTATTGATAGTCATTGGGATGTTGACGTGCCCAAAAACGTGACGTTGGGATTATTCAGCGTGTAAAATATTAGTGTCGTGATAAAATATTGCCTCCATCCTCTGCGCCCTTATAATAAAGGCACAGTTGTTAATATAATAAATGCTTCTTTCATTCGGTGTTCTAGATTATAGCTACTGCCAGATTTTAATAATAATAACACTTAACTTTATTTACAAATGAATGTTACAAGGTTAAAACTATATTGAGAAAGCAGCTTTTGCTAGAATATTAGATTGAGAGGATTTAGATAGAAGTTTTTTAGCTTGTATAGAACATTGGGGTATTAGTTCGTGAATTTACCCTATATCTTTGACGTTGCATCTACCTTTGTATAAACAATGGTATATATAATAATTTAAAAAAATGTATATGCTTCAAAGATACATTCTAGTATGAAAATTGGATTATATTTTGATTAATTTCTATAGAGTAATAAACCACACATCATAATCAGAGACAATAATTAATTGGCTCTCGCATCGATTAAGGTACGTGTCTATTCCACAATACATTGGGTCAACGCCCACTGTGTAGTTGTCTATTATTATATATGTAGGTACTTCACTATAAATTACACACACAAAAAAGAAATCTTTAAAAAACACTAGTATTAATTTGTTTTTGTATACTATTGTGTGCTGAGGATGCAAATAAAATAATTATCTATATCGATTCTAGAGGTATCATAAATCGTAATCGTCTAAATAAATAATCGTAAATCTAGAGGACTATTC